TCCTGAACTCTGATGGCCTGGTGACACATCTTTGGGACACTTGGGGCCACGAGGAATCCCAAGAGACAATGATCGGGTCTCTAGCCAGGGGGGCCAAGGTCCTGGGTCAGTGAGAGGCCCTCCCCCCACGCTGGGGTTACCTTAATCTTCTTGAAGTCCACGGGCTTGCGGATGAGCTCGTAATACTCGGGCAGCTCCTTGCGGGAGGGCAGCTGGATGAACACCTCGCTGAGCTGACGTCCACTGCTACTGTAAGGGAACAGAGCGGACATTACTCACAGGCCCTGCCAACTGGGGGGGCCTGGAACATTCCGGAGAGGCAACCATGCATGGAGAGGTCAGGGATGTATTTCAATCCAGGCTCTGAGCTCACTCAATTCCCCCGACCCCCTCGGCCCACGTGCCACAAAGCCAGCCTCGGCACTGGACAGATCACGATTATGCACGAGGCAAATATCAGTTTGCTCTGAGAGGTGACTGTTTGTACATGATGAGAGAGAATCATTGATCGGCTACCTCCTGCACATGCCCCACTGGGGATCAAGCCCACAACCCAGGCATGTGCCCCTGACCGGAATCAAACCTGGGACCCTTCAGTCCACAGGCCGACACTCTATCCACTGAGCCACACCAGTTCGGGCATGTTGTGTGTCTCTTGCAGGCAGCAGCTAGGAGCAGTGACCGTCAGAGAATCTGGCAAAAACCCAGGGAGAAAGATGGCCCCCAGCAAGATGTTAACGACAGATAAAAGCTGTTTTCTAGCCCCTTCCCCAGCTTGTTTTCCACAGGGAGCCGAGGAAAAATGTGGCATGTGTACGTCTCACTCCATGAGAGGCGACCGGGCCTCCTGCAGCCACTCCTGGGTGTCACTCCTGGAGAATCCTGTGCAGCAGGCCAGCAGGTTGCGCCACACCTGAGCCTGGCTCTGTACTAGGGACAGGAGCTCAGATGAGACATCATTCCGGGGAGGGAGTGAACAGGAGCTGGATTCAAGACCTGAAGGACCAAGGGAGAAGACAATGCCCCCTGCGCCAGGCTCCCTGCTGTTCAGTCAGCCTGGAGGATGGCGGTTCTGCCTCCGGGAACCTAATGTGCCCCAGGGGTTCCATCCTGCTGGGGCTCCACACAGCCAGCAGAGGCCCAGGTCATCCCGGGAGTTGGTGACCTGTTGGCAACCTTGCTCTCCCGGCCTCTCCCCCCACTCAGGCGCCCACTCATTCCAGCTGAGCTTTAACCCAGGTCCTGCTGCGGGATGTCTGACCCGCTCGGCTGGCCCACCTCCTTCTGGCTGCTTCACCACTCGGGCTTTCCAGTCACAGGAGACCGTGGTTCAGGCCCAGAGCTGCCTCTGGGCTGAGCCTTTGGCTCAACTGTTTCCCTTTTCTTTTCAACAGAATTCTCAAAGGACAGAGCAGCCTGCCCACTCCATCCCCAAGTCTGCCCCCACTCCTTTTGTTTTGGTTTACCATTCTGGAAGACAGTAGTGACACAACTGCTATTCGGGTTTTGTCGCTGGATGCCCCAATTTCATAATGGCCTTAAGGAGCAGCTTGGCCAGCACCGCCTCCCCGAGGCTGTTCCCAGTGGGATCTCTGGAGGCCTTTGTTCATCTGGGGTTTTTGTGCATCATGAGGGCCCTGGCCTGAAAGCGGCTGGAACCCGCTCCCTGCACCTTGCCTTGGACAAGTGCAGTCACTTGGGCCAGACACACTTTAACATGGGTTCTCATCACGCTGTTATTTTAATGGTTGTGATGAAGGAACTAAGGCTGAAGTTCAGCCTGCCCTGGCAGCACACAGCTCACCTCGGGCCCTGCCTTCCTCCCAGTGTTACCGAGGACACCGGTAAGTGGCTGCCTCCTGCTCTCTTTCCTGCCCTGTGCAGGGTCAGGCGCCACAGCTCCGGGAAGGCACACTTCCAGGCTGTCCTTCCCAGCCAGGGAGCTCCTCCCCGACACAAGCTTCCTTTCTCTCATGAACAGGCAGGTGGGTGGTTTGGCAACAAGCAACTGGAATTCGTTTGTGTGAACTCCAAAAGTGAGAACAGGTAACAAAACACGCAGAGCCCTCCTTTCTCACGGCAGTGTCATCCCACACTTTGGCAAGACGTTGGGGAGCATTGCATTTTACACTCTGACCCAGGACTCTCACCCACACGTGTAAAATAACAAGTTCTGTGGGGCATTATCTCCCTTACAAAGTGCAATGGACTCCGATTTCCTACTCTCTCTGAGAAACTCCAGCTGGGACCCACAAAATTCACTCCACAGCCCACTGATGGTCACGGACTTCTAGCTTGAAAAGCCCTGCTTGCAGTGCCAGGGCCGGTGGAGCCTGGCCACAAGCCCTGTCACCTGTGAAATCCATGCAGGTGGCCGGCCTCAGGGAGCATTTGGCCCTCTAGGTGGGACTTTAGTGCTGTAACAGAGCAGGAAGTTTCACAATAAGACCCCCTCTCCTCTGACAGCCAAAGAAATTGTTTGAGAGCAAAGAAACAGGGCCTCCTCTTCTAAACCTCCGGGGAATAAAGGCCCACCTGCCACCAGCCCGACAGCCCTCTCAGCTGTAATGAGCTCTGATGTCCACCTTGCCCTCAGACCTCTTAATAAAAAAGGAGGCGTGAGCTGTAAGACAAAGCCACGCATCTTCAGCATTTGGCTCCCTGAGGTGCCCAAGGCTCCTGTGAGCCTCGCTGACCTTTGACACTGGCTGAGTTTGGCTTTTTCTTGAACTTGATGTTACAGGATCACAAGAGTGAGCCCCCAGGCCTAGCAGTGCCGCTCACCACTGAGATTTACCTGTTGGTGCATGTAGCAGTTCACTGTTTAGTAACTGCTTTGTGCTCCAGAGCAAGTACCCCCTGTGGTCCACTTGTCCATCTGCTGTTGAGGGGCACTCAGGCTGTGTCTGGCTTGGGATATCATATAACAAGCGGCTGTGGACACTTGTGTCTGACTTTTCGGCTCGCATCTCTCGGGAATTTACCTGGGGCAGCAGTGCTGGGTCACGGGGCAGAGGACACTCAGCTCCGGTAGCTACTGAGCCTGTGTCCACTCCTCCAGCAGCAGGTGAGCATCCTGGTTCTGTGCAGCTGCACTCGCTCCCGTCGCTCCTCCTCGATGTGGGCGGTCTACATCCTGCTGTGCACTGTTATCACTTTGTGGTTTTAATTCACATTTCCACCTTTTCACAGGTGCACTGGGTCTGACAGTCTGTCAGGCACACCTGCTTCCCCTGGGAGTGCTCTGTTGGACATATTTATTGCAACCCCTTCTCCAATCTATGTCTTCTTACTCCCTGGATGGTCTTTTGGTGAATAGATACCAATGTTAATCAAAGTCCTAATTTATCAGTATTTCCTCTTATAATTGGCGTTTCTCCTGCCCTGTTAGAGAAATCTTTGCCTACTCCCAGGTCACAGAGATCTTTTCTAGAAGCTTGGACATTTTCACTTTTTTACATTATTAGATATGAGGCCGGTCGCCCTGGAGAGTTTCTCTCCATAGAAGTTACCATTCATCCCGCCACACCCAGAGAACGAGCCATGAGGGCAGAGGCCTTGCCTGTGTTACTCACTGCTCTGTCTGTGGCGCTTGGAACAAAGCCTAGTATGCAGCAGGTGCTCAAAACACATTTGATGAATGGAGGAAGAGAGAGCTCAGGGTGAAAACCTCAGGGTCACAGGGCAGGGCTTGAACCTGGGTGCCTCACCACCCCCAACCCCATGCGGACATTTATATACCATCCCACTACAAAAAACACTCTGGAAGCAACTACCAGGAGTCCCACTGCAGAGCACACCTCCCATCTTGTGAGACTTGCTCTGAAAAAGCTGCTGCAGACAGTTGTTCGGAACTCCACCTCCAGCCCTGAGCGTGTCCAGCAGTCCTGGCAGGGGTGGGATGGAAATGAAGGAGCCCGAAGAATCATGAAGCTGTCAGCAACAGCTCCATGACTCCAATTCAGACAGGAAGGAAGTGCCTTCTAGCTCAGGCTGTCACTGGTTTGGCAAGAGCAACCATGGCTGTTGCTGACAATCCAAATGATGATGAGAAAAATGATGTTATTCTTCCTCTAGATGTCAGCTCCCAGAGCAGGGGCTTTCCTCAACCTCGTCACTGCCCAGTCCCCGTCACTACAACAGGACACGATATGCAGGAGGTGCTCAGAGACCAAAGCCTTGTTTAATTTTACAAGCCCTTCTCCTTGGAGCTTGAACAGCCTTGGTGGGGACCCTTGTTATTTAACCTGCACAGACAGTGTCTGCCTCTCTGTGGAAAAGAGCCCGCCCCTACACTAACTTGGGGTTCTGGTGGGGCTGACCATCATCAAGCAGGACCACAGCACCAGCCAGCCAAGCAGAGTCCTGCGCTGGGATTTTCTACCAGCAGCTGGGGAAGCAGCAGGTGCTTGTGGGAGCCATGGTTCAGCCATGAGAACCATGGGAGGACTCTAGGTCCCAAGATTTAGTCTTCACTAACTCCGACATGGCCTCCAGGCCAACAAAATCCCTTCTCAGCCTGAAGGGCTTAGAACTGGGCTCCTGATGGGCAGAAGCCAAAAGTCTGAATTGACACATCCCTTTGAGTATATTATTTGGTTTAGCCTTAAAATAAAATTACATCTCCTGGAAGAGGAACAAAGAATCAGAAGTGAACAACAGAGCCCTAAAAATACAGAACCATGGACTTTCAGTATCTAAGGACTCATCGACCAGTACCCCTCGCTAAACAGATGGAAAGAACCAGAGAGGCTATGAAAGGTGGCTACAGACACACACAGAAAATTGGTGGCAGGCAGGACTTAGCCCCTAGGCTAAGTCAGCGACTCTCCCTCCTATATCATACCCCATTCTAAATCAAGGGTCAGCAATGCTTTTCTATAAACAGTCACTGTAAATACTTTAGGCTTTGTGGGCCATACCATATCCATCACAATTACTCAACTTGGCCATTGTTGCACAAAAGCAGCCACAGACTTTACAGGCGAATGGGCTCTGGCTGTTTTCCACATAAAACTTTATTTATAAACAATGAAATCTGAATTTCACATTTCACATCATAGTAGTCTTTTAATTTTCTCAAAATCATCTAAAAAACAACACCATTCTTAATTCACAGGCTATCCATACACAGGTGGTAGGCTAGACTTTTGTTTTAACCTTTATCCGAGCATATTTTTTTCCCCATTGGTTTTTAGAGAAAGGGGCAGGGGGACATCAATGTGAGAGGGACACACGGGTTGATTACTACTGCATGCACCCAAATGGGGCAGGGATTGAAACCTGCAGCTCAAGCATGTGCCCTTGACCAGGAATAGAACCACTGAGTCAAACTGGCCGGGGCAAATGGTGTCCTTACTTCCACATCTTCTGATGGGGCAGACATAAAAAAATGATCACAGCACTATCCCTTGAGCTCCCATGGCCTCAGGCAGGCTCAAGCAATTGATTGAAGATGGTGCTCAAGATAGAAGTGGTCCCAATCTGTATGGAAGGACTCCCTCAGCCCTGCCCTCCTTCCTAGAGTCCCATTCAGACAATTTCCCTCTGACATATCTCAGTGACAGCTTTTAGAACTGGACCATTTTCTCTTTTGACTCTCAACCAGTGAACTGGGCGAACCAAGGTCCTGGACATGAACAACTCAGTATTTTCAAACCTGATTTAGCAAAATATTTATATGGACCAGACTCAGAAAGTACTCGATAAACAACGTTTGAAAATGAATTGATGAAACACATTAAAAGGAAATTGTATTAGTATAGAATTATTTCCTAGTCTTAATTTTTGGACACATTACCAAGTCAAGGATATCTCAAAGATTAGAAAAGTAAGAAGTCTGGATAAATGCACTTACTTACAATATTACTAAGAGCCTCCACCAGTTGAGCACCCATCCATACTTAAAATATCTATTTGTGTTGAATTTACAGCTTTGCAGTACAGAAAAAATTCTGACTAAGCATGAGTGAGAGGGAAATTATATTCACCAGTGAGAATGGTTTGTGGGCTGCCCTGCACTCCACACACTCTTCCAGTGCAGAGAGAGGAGGGGGAGAGCTTTGCTGCAGGGTCCAAATGCCAAGTGCTACACTGGCTGTAGGTTCCGATGGTGATTGTCTAATGAGGTAATAGTTTCAAATGAGCCAAAAACACATCTGGGGTTGCATGTCTCAATCTAGTTAAAATATAAATTCCAAATCTCATTTTATAAAAATCTTGACTCCCCCCTCCAAGTAACTCAAACCGGGAAACTACTTAGTTTGAACCTGAATTTTGGAGGCAAGATCTGAGCTTTGGGGGTGAAAGACAGAAGTCCCAGGCCACAGAGCAAGCAGCAGAAGCCGAAGCCGGAGCGTAATCCAGACGAGCTCCTAGGTGTGGCATGTACTTTTGTGCTCTCTCAAGCAGGCTGTGTTGTACTGCGGCAGGCACTCAGAAGGCATTAGCTGTGGGTGAGCAGGACAAAGAACAGAGTACCCGTGACAGGTTTATGACAATGCAGAGAGCATTTCTAAGAGACCCGTGGAGGTGGTCCTGTGAGTGCAGGGAGGCCCAAGACCACATTCTGCAGAGCTAGGGGACCAGGGCCTCAAGAATTGTGCTTGATTTTCTGAATTATCAATGTCAGTATCTCCGAGTGCTGAGCAGTTAGAGGGGGTCCCAAGCTCCTTCTGAAGTGCCAAGGACTGCAAATCCCCACATTGGGAACCAAGGGCAGCGTGGTCCTCTGGTCTGTGCAGAGGATGAGGGGGCTGTTCGGGGCCAGCAGCCTGGGGAACTGCTGCTGCAGTACAGGGCTGATGGGCCACGTCCACACCTGCCTAGAGACCTCATATCCACTCCTTCTTCCTTCCCTCCAGCTAATCTTTAACCATACTTAACATATTTTTAACTAGTTTCACCTCGGAATTCAACATTTCTCAATTCATCTTTTTATTCTTTTATCCAACTGTCTCTTGGCTTAAAATTTTACCCTCTTTTGTGACTTCTCACTTACGAAACCTCATCTTTGGACCTTTGCCATCATCCTTTTCCTCTTCCTTCCTCCCCCATTCATTTCACACCTCCTGTGTTACCCGATTAGTATCTCCTATTGTCATGAACACCCCTTTTCTGTTTTCCTTGCATACAGTAGTAGTGCAAGCTTGATAAAAATGCACTGCACACTTTAGAAGGTTCTTACCTGGACAGGACTCCACGGGAGGCAGAAACGAGGGGGTCAAGGTTCAACCTGTTCACCCAAATCTACTTATTTCCAGAGTCCACGTATCTGTCCCTGTCCTGTTTGAAGCTTTATGTAATTCTAGTTTTAAGACCCTTCCAAATCTGTTTTGTTTTGCATGATAAACAGACTGGTAAACAAGACAGGTGAGCTTATTCCAGCAAATTCTATGGCAGGCTCATAACCCCAGCACTGCTCCATGAGCACCTGGCTAATCCTCCGGTGGCTCGGAGCCCCACTGGGCCCTTAGCCCGGCCTGCACCCACTCTCAGGCTGGCCCGGGGCTTGATGATGGGATCAGCACTTTTCTAAGACATCGCATTTCAGTGCCTCTCAGGTGAGACTCCGGGCTAGGTGCCCAGCAGATAGTGCTGACCCCAGACCTGGTCCCGCAGGCAGAGCCGCCTCCTCCTCTGGAGACACCCATTCTGGGCTCTGGCTCCAGATGAAGGGCCATCTGGCCTTTTGAAGGCTGAAGCGAGGGAACCCTGAGACCTCCCTGCCCCCTCAGGGTACAGCTCTCACCCTCTGCCCTCTCCCCTCCCGGGGCCCATCCTGCGGATCTTAGAGCCACCTTCAGTGACCTCTCCTAAGAACGCTTCAACCTGACAACCTGCACTGTGCTTGTTAAGTTGTCCCAATTTTTCTTGTAAATCAAGGTATAAGCTTTCAACTCTGAAGAGTCACCTTCTTTTTTATTCTAACAATGGAGGTGCAAGGGCAAAGGGAAAGTGCCTGCAGGCCTGGGCAGTTCCCATTAGATCCAGGCCTCGGCTGACGGTGCCACCACCCACTGTGGATCTGGCTGGGGCCCTTCTTCACCCACAGCAGTCTCTGAGTTGCATGCCTGGCCCATGTTCTCTCCTTGAGGGTCTCTATAACCCCACACAGGGGCTTCAATTTTTGTGCCACAGACTTGGAAACAAGCAGAGAGACACACATCAAAACCAGATCTCTGTGACACTCGCCCCACAGCCCCTACAGCGACTGCGGCCTAGGGTACGCAACAGGTTGTATGGGGCCCTCTAGGGCCTGCCTGCTGAGGCCGTGCCTCAGCAAATGCACTTCTCCAAAACCTTTCCAAAGACCCCAAGGGTATCTGCACACCTGCTAACTGGCTTCTGCAGACAGAGCTTCTGAAACCAACTGGCAGCACTCACAGCCCCACAACTAGGGACCAATCTGACTCAGGAGCCTGTGACTAACTTACTTGTATGTTTACGTTCGAAGTGCAAACTCTTAATTCCTAATTCAGATTTTGATTTTGGCTGTTGACCAGTGGAGTCTTTGATGCCATTTGAGATTTCTAATCATCAAGAGGCACCTGTGCCCTCAGCCTCCAGGCTTCTGCACACGCTGTCTCCTCTACCTCCTCCTCCCCTGGCGGGCTCCTGCTAAGTCTTCAGGCTCTGCTTATGAAGCACTTCTACCTGAGGCCACCCTGGGCCCTGGGGTCGTCTGTGCCATCACAGGTCAAAGGCACAGTACTATAGATTCTCCAGGGGCCCTACAGCGCAAAGTGCATTTCACTACAACCAATATGAGGCCAGACGCCCACACAACTCCCGGAAGTGCCACTCACAGGGAGCAGGGGGCCTTTGGAGGCAGGAGCAAGGCAGTCCTGAATCTGACACATGTGAAGGAAGCTAAGCTTACAATATAGGACATTACCTTCATATGGACAAGGATGTACATATGAAGGGAGTATTATACAAGATTGCACTGGTATTTAAATATAACTGGGGCATCAGGAAACCAACAGTGAAAAGCAACATTTGAAGTGATGCCAGCTGGCGGAAGGGCTTCCCTGTTCAGACATGCAGCAGAGGCATGGCTGAACCACTTCAGGGGAGTCACTGCATCAAGGTGCAACCCTGGCTGCCCCCCGTGGTTCCTCCACCACATGCTCCTGCTCCACAAGGCAGGTTCCTAACTGATTTCAAAAGCTGACAGTGTACTGATAACATTCTTTGGGGTCTAGGAAAAACCAAGTTGTAACAATTCATTCTCTCTCAAGCTCTAGACTGAACTCAAGTATAGAAGTTGGCTAATTATAGGGTTGTGTAAAGCAATAAAAAAAAAAATCCAAATGTTTCATTTTCTCTTTTGAAATGGAGCAATTGGAAGTTTGAGACAAGAAAGTGCAAGTTAGGCAATCTCCAATTTTATCGCACCCTAGTTCCTTGGTGTGGCACAGTGACCAGTCTTTGGAATCTTCCCGGTGTGTGACATATAGTTGCAAAAAAATTTATCCGGGCCCAGATAGTCTGAGAATGTGATTTAGGGCAGGGGCACTGGGTCATATGGTATCAGCTCAACTACACCTGGGCAGTCAGTCGTGTCTATGGGACTAAATTCCAATAAAAACCCTAGACACTGAGGATTCCCCAGCTGGCAATGCTCTGTGCCCGTTGTCTCATGATGTTGCCAGTGCTCTCTGGGACTCCGTGGGGCGAGGAAGCTCAAAGCGTGGAGCTCTCCTGGATGCTGCTCCATATACCTCTTCCTTTAGCTGGTTTTAATCTGTATGCTTTTGCTGTAATTAATAGACTATAATCATGAATATAACACCTTTCAGAGTTCTGAGATTTTTCTAGAGAATCCTAAAGCCTGAGGGTGGTCTTGGGGACCCCTGACCTCTGCAGAGGTGTCAGAAGTGAGGGTGGTCTATGGACTGTCGCTTAACCCCTCAACAGGGGTTGTTTTCCCCGTGGCTTCAAATTCAGTTTGTTAAGAACATCAGAAATATTATCCATTCAGTAGGTAAACTTTGTTTCCAAACGTCTTTGAAAGTATCTGCCAAATGAGGCAACTTTTCAACCAGGAAAACTGTCTGTTTCCCTGAGTTTATGTGCAACTCGATCTCTTCCTGTATGACCAGCAGCAAAATAGCAAGTGGACAGCCGTCTCCAAATTCGAACCAAATGCTTCTCAAGTCCAGGCAGGGCATGGTAGCTTCCTTGAATGGTCACATTTGCAATCCCCCTTGTAACTCCTTTATAGTTCTTCCTTCTCTAGTGGAGAACTCCAAGTTCTGTGACACTATCCATACGAGGGGGATGTGAGATTAAAGATAAACCATCATACCCTCTGATAAGGTGTCCTGCCACGTGGGTCTGACATCAGCTGGGAACATCAAACTGGAACTCAGAATCCTTACCAGGATCTCAGCATTCTGCAATAGAACAGTCTTTACAAGGAGGTCACTGAACCCTAAAAGCTAGTTTTCATTTATTGGCTGATTTCTCATCCAACCTTACAGATGGTGTGAGAACCACTGTTTGTTGTGGAAGCCATTTTTTGGCTTATAATATACAACTAAATGAGACTGAGAAAGGTTTTTCAGTGAGTTGTAGAATGATGACTAAGAAAGTGGACCGATATTTGACATATTTTTTTGGTTTGAAAATATCTAATGCCCCATTAACAAATTCAGGCTGCCATTTCTCTTTCTTTTCTTTCAAGATATTTTTTATTATTTTTATTTTTTTATTTTTAAATATATTTTATTGATTTTTATACAGAGAGGAAGGGAGATAGTTAGAAACATCGATGAGAATCACTGATCAGCTGCCTCCTGCATACCCCCCAACGTGGATATGCCCGCAACCAAGGCACATGCCCTTGACTGGTATCAAACCCGGGACCCTTCAGTTCCCAAGCCGATGCTCCATCCATTGAGCCAAACCGGTCCCGGCTCTTTTTTATTGATCTCAGAGAGAAAGGGACAGGGAGAGATAGAAACATCAATGATGAGAGAGAATCATTGATTGGCCGTCTCCTCCACGCTCCACACTGGGGATTGAGCCCACAACCTGGGCATGTGCCCTGACCAGGAATTGAACCATGACCTCCTAGTTCATTAGTCAACCCTCAACCACTAAGCCATGCAGGCTGGGCTCCAAGTGTTTCTTTTTAAATTGAGGTATAATCTTATACATCTTAAGTATATACCTTTATGAACATTTTCATGTATACACTCAGACTGATAAAATATTCCCAATACCTCAGAAAGCTCCCTCATGGTCTTTCATTGTCAATTCCCCATCCTGACATAACCACTATTCAATGCCCATCATTGTGAATCAGCTTCTGAACTTCATATAACTGGGAGCACACAGTAGGTACTCATTAGTTTCTGGCTTCTTTCATTCAACCAAATGTAAGAGTCTTCGAAGGAGCAGTGGTGTTTCTGGTTTTGTGGCTGTTAGAATTCTGCTGTCCAATTGGGCCACTGACACATTCTCCTGGAGGTGGACACTATTTGGGCTACTTCACTAGGGGCAGTTCTGTCTTAGCTGCTGTGGACGTACTTCCACAAGTCTTTAGGTGGACATGCATTCAGCTCTCCTGGGTTGGAGTTGCTGTGTCATAAAGTTCATCTTTATGTTGAACTTTTATGTCATTTTGAGTAGTGTGAGGTACAACCGCTCCAGACACTCAAAGGAATTGTAGTCTCTCTGTTCAGGCATCTCACACTCATTTGATGTTGTTGATGCAATGATCCCCATCACCTTTTCATATACTGATTGCTCATGGGGACATCTTCTTCCACAAGATGTGAACCTGCAATCTGGTATGTGCCCATTTTAAAATTGGGTGTTTTTTCCCAAGTCTATGGCAGTTTCACTATCATCGTGTGTCTTTAAAAAAAAAAAAAAGTTTTTATAGATATCCAGAGAGAGAGGTAGAGGGATAGAGATAGAAACATTAATAAGAGAAACATCATCCATCAGCTGCCTCTAGCACGTCCCCCACTGGGGATCAAGCCTGAAATGCGGGGCATGTGCCCTGACTGGATACCAAACCAGCCACCTCTGGGTTCATGGGTCAACACTCAACCACTGAGCCTCACCACCCAGGCAGTGTGTCTTTTGATGAACAGTTGTTCTTATTTTTCATGAAGTCTTTTATGGTAGTGACATTTGTGTCCTATTGAGGAAGTCTGCCTACTTCAAGGCCACGAAGAGTTTCTCCCATGCCTTCTTCTAGAACTTTTCCTTTCACATTTATATCAATTATTATCCATTTTAAACTAATGTATGTATAAGATGTGAGGCAGCATCAAGGTTCTTCTCCACATGGATATCCAAAGACCAGCATGACTTTCCATCAAGTCCATCTTTGCCCCGCTGACCTTCAAGAGTCTTCATTTTGGTAATTTTAAGTTTCCCTCACAGGAATATCATTAAGGAAAAAACATGGCCTCTACTGTTGTTGTTGTTGTTGTTGTTTTTTAGAATCTTTTTAATCCTCACCCTAGGATATGTCCTTTGTCATTGGTTGGCCTCCTCCTGCACACACCCTGACTGGGGATTGGACCCGCAACCTAGGCAGGTGCCTTGACCAGAAGTCCAATCTACAACCTTTTGGTGCACAGGATGATGTTCCAATCAACTGAACTAATTGGGCAGGATGGAGTCTACTGCTTTCATTGGATTTTTACACATTCCATAGTTCACCTTTTACATGTTTCTTTGTGGAGTTTCTCTCAAAGGTCAAGTTAGCAAATTAGCATCAATATTTTCTTCTCAATATTGACACTAATTACATTTTTAGGTTGAGCAGATGAACTAGCATATGCCTTTTTTTTTTAATTCATCATTTGTTCCTCTTTGGTAACTTTTTTAAAAAGTTTTTTATTGATTTTTAAAGAGGAAGGAAGAGGAAAATAGAGAAACTTTGATGTGAGAGAGAAACATCAATCGGCTGCCTCCTGTAGGCACCCCAACCGGGGACTGAACCTGCAACCTGGTATGTCCCTGATCGGAAATCCAACCGGCGACCTTTCTGTGCATGGGGCGACACTCAAATGAGCCACACCAGCCAGAGCTATAATAAGGCATTTTTTGTTGTTAATCCTCACTGGATATTTTTTCAATGGTTGTTTAGAGAGAGTGGGAGGGAAGGAGGGAGGGAGGGAGAGGGGAAGGGGAAGAGGGAGAGGGAGAGAAAGAGAAACCGAAATGAGAGAGACACATTAATTGGTTGCCTCCCACATACACCCCAACTGGGGCTGGTAATCAAACCTACAACCCAGATATGTGCCCTTGACCAGGAATGGGACCCAGGACCGTTCCATGCTAATGCTCTAACCATTGAGAAGACCGGCCAGACAATAAGGTTCTTTTTAAAGGTCAATCTGTATTTTTTATTTGGATACCAGTTGTCACCACCCCCAAAATGTCATGCTTGGTAAGAATCTCTCTAAATGTGCTAATGGTTCACACCTTGACATTGTCCACTGCTACAGATTAAAATTCCCCCTTACTTTGCTTCATGACCCACTGCAAAGCATTACTATAAAACCGAGCCGTACAACCCTTATGTTATGGAGAGTCACATGGGCTGGTATGTACCAGAAAGTGTCATAAGACACTGGAGAGCGGGAGCAAGGTGCAGGCCGTGCATCCCTACCCACCTTCTGCAGCTGCACATGCCCACCCTGCACTGGCAGAATGTGAGCATTCTCCTTGGAGGGCTGCAGGAGAACCATTATTTTCTTCTTCTTATTTAAATGGTACTTGTGCTCCACAAACAGACCCACTGAAGCTGAAAACACATACTCCCTTGTATTTGGTGCCTGTGAGGACAGGGCTCACAGTGCCTAGAGCAGTCAGCCAACACATGGCGGACCTCCAATGGCCCAGCATGAAAACTGGGCTTATCATGCAAGTATGGGGACAGGGCAGTGAGGGTGGGGTAGTCTAGAGAAGGAACAGAAAACCTTTCTGCTCCAGCAACTCTGGCTTCCACCATAGTCATGAGTGTCGGCCATAAGATAGGCACCCATCACAGCACAGAACTCTCCTTCCACCTCGCCTCATCACTAACCTCAATCTTGCCAACCACACCTCATCATCCTGGGGCCTCTCCACCTGCTTTGCCTCTGCTGGTGAACTCATTCCTAGACCTCCTTTCATCAGAGCTCCTTGGCCTCCCCACCACACTTTATTTCCCTCTCCCCATGCTGACATCACTTGTACGCTTCCTTGTTTAACCAATGGCTGTGGAATGGTCTCACAGGCACATGGGAGGAAAGGCAACCTTGAGGACCCCCGGCAGCTGCCCACCCACCCACCCCATTCCTCAGCTTACCTGTCCTTATACTTGATGACAGCGTCCACAATCTTTTTCATTTTTTTGGTGAGGTTTGGAGGGTTGGGGGAGAGCTTCTCAGCAGGTGGCCGCCCGCGCTTTTTTTGCTTCTTGCTCTCCTCGTCCTTGTCTCGACTGCGGGTGCTGGTGGTTGGGGTGGAGGAGCCGGCGTCGCTGTCCCGCTTGCGTTTTCGCGATGATTTCTTCTGCCGAACCTCCTCTTCGATCTCCTCCAGCGTGCCCTCCTCGATGGCCTTCAGGGTCAATAGTGGTAAAATAGGACAGCCAGCACCGAGGTTGACAAGCAGAGGCCGCGGCGCAAACCCGTGGGTTCTGGCTGGGGCAGGACACACACCAGGGCTCTCACAGGCTCCAAAAAGCCACAGAAGGCCAGAGCACATCCCACCCATGCCTGTCCTTCCCAACTAGAGGGTTGTACTTTAAAAATTAGTCATATCTTCACTCCCGTGTAATGGACTCCTGTACCCCTCCACCCAGAGGTGACAATGTTAACACTTCTCTGGACCCAATGCATCTTTTTAAAAAATTTGGTGAAACGGGTTTGAAGTGCGCAACTCAGTGACATTAGGTACATTCACATTGTGTGCAGCCAACCACCACCATCCAGCTCCAAGGTCTCCTTGCCCTTCCCACGTGCATGTGCACAACTGAGACACCATGGAATTGTATCCACGTACCATATTATGACTCATGTTTTTGCTTACTATATCCTGGATGCATTTCCTGTTGTTTTTCTGCAACATAATTTTTAATGCCTGTTTAGTATTTTATTGCAAAAAGGGACATAATTGTTCATGGGCATTTGGGTTATTTCCACTATTTGGGCAGGTGTGGCTATTCTACATAATGCCATGACTGACATCTGTCTTTTCTGTACAGATTACAGAAGTGAAGCTGCTGAATTGAAGGACATCAACACGTACAATGTTAATTTTAAAAGGATCCTGATTTATTCATTCTGAATAATTTGCACGTTTAAAACAAAGGGAAGGGAAGCCAGGTTTCCAGGGGAGCTTTGAATCATAAAGGGAGGGGTGCTGGACTCAAAGGGTTGTGCTGGTCATTCGTCTCTCATTTATCAAGTGACTGTGAAATGGGCAGGGGGCCTGGCACAGAAGACAAAGCACTGAACAGAGCCAGGTGGACACTTAGCAGACAGACTTCCCACAAATGTAGTGACAATCATGGGTCAAGTTCTAGGAAGAAGGGTGAGTGGTGCTGATTGTGAAGCAGACCTGTCCTACCTAGAGGTTCAGGAGAGCTTCCTAGAAGAGGTGGTACAGAAGCTAAGAACTGAAGGGGGCGGCGTGGGGAAAGGGGAGGAAAAAGACATCCAGGAGGGACTGAAAAAAGGTCAGCACAGGGGAGGGCATGTACTGCAGGTCTAGTGGGACAGATGAAATAATTGTCCCCCGCCTGGTTGGAGCATCGGCCCGAGCACCAGAGGCACAAGTTCAATTTTGGTCAAGGGCACATGCCTGGATTACAGGTCTAATTCTGGCCTTGGTTGGGGTGCATGTGGGAGGCAACCAATCAATGTGTTTCTCTCACATCAATGTTTCTCTCTTTCATCCTCTCCCCTTCCCTTCCTTTCTCTCAAAATCAATGGGAAAAAATATCTTTGGGTGAAAATTTAAAAAAAAATATATATTGCCCCCCAAAATTAATATCCAAATGGAACCTTAAAATGTTATTTTATTTGAAAATAAAATCTTTGCATATGTAATTACTTAAGAATTGAGCAAGATGAGTTCATCCTGTGTCAGGGTAGACCCAAAATCTAATGAGCGTAACTTTATGAGAGATAGAAAGGCCACACAGAGACACAGTGTAGGGCCATGTAAAGGTGGAGGCAGAGAGTGGAATGATGGGGCCATAAGCCAAGGAATGCCAGGGCAACCACAAGCTGAAAGAGGCATAGAAGTCTCCTCCCCTAGAGCCTTCGGAAGGAACAGGGTCCTGCTGACACCTGGATTTTAGAATCCTAGCCCTCCGGGACTGAGAGAATAAATTACTGTTGTCTTAAGCCACCAAGTATGTGGTAATTGTTATGGGAGCCCTAGGAATATCTAATACCCGGGTTTCTGGTCCCCTGGCCTGCAAGGCAAGAGCCAAGAACATTCTGAACGATTTTGGCACATAGAGCATAAGAGTGTCTGTCAAAAAAGTTGTGCCCATTACACATCCATTACTAAGAGAGGAGAGTGCCTGTTTTGGGCAAATATATTTATTATTAATGTAAATTTTGCTGAGTATGACATATAAAAAGCTATGTGTTCAATGGGGAAAGAAGAGTCTTTTCAACACATAGTACTAGGACCACTGGATGTCCACAGATAGAAGAATGAAGTCGGACCCTAAATTATTACTATATACAAAGTGAACTTAGAGTATCATGGGCATAAATGTAAAAGCTGAAACTCTAAAACTTGAAAAAATATATGGGGATAAATCTTTGTGACCTTGCATCTCGTGAGAGATTCTCAGACAAGATCCCAAAAGATAAGCAATAAGAGAAAAATAAACTAGACTTTATATCAAAATTGAAAACTTTTGTGCTCCAAAGGAAACCATGAAGAAGATAAACCACAGATCAGGAGAAATATTTGCAAATCACACATCTGATAAGAGACTTATAAAAAAAGATATACAAGTGGCTAATAAGCACATGAAAAGATGTTCAGTGCCATTAGCCACTAGAAAAACAGAACTCAAAGCCACAAAGAGGCACCACTTTATACCACTGGAATTATTAAAATAAAAAAGACAGATAATAACAATTATTAACAAGGATGCAGAGAAATTCCCTCATATCCTGCTGGTGTGAATGTAAAATGGTGCAGCTGCTTTGGAAAACAGGCAGCCCACCCCTCAAAAAGTTAAACATAGGATTTTACCACTTGAGACCCAGCAATTACACTTCTAGTATATACTTGAGAGAAATCAAAACACATGTCCTCACAAAACATGTACACATATGCTCCCGGCAGCATTATTCACAATAGTCAAAAAGTGGGAACAACCAAAGTGTCCATCAACTGATGAATGGATAAAAAAAAGTGATATATCCGTAGAATAAAACATAATTCAGCCTTGAAAAGAAAGAATATGTGCTACATCATGGATAAACCATGAAAATATTTTGCCTTGTGAAAGAAGCCAGACATCAAAGGATCACATGTTACATGATGCTATTTATATGTAAAGTCCAGAATAGGGTGACTGTCAAGGGCAAGGCGGAATAAAGGGAAGGAAGACAGCAAAGATGAGGATGTTCTAAAGTTGATCTGTGATGACAATTGCAAGACTGTAAATATAGTAAAAACCATTGGCTTGTACATCTTAAATGAGTGAATTCTACAGTATATAAATTATACCTCAAAAAATGGATACAAAACAGTATGGCGAAAGGCACTCACTGTCTCAAAAATGTGGGGTTGGTAATGTTCCATGGAAGCTGATACAGATCTGTAACTGGGCCTAAGTTCCCTCTCTGGAGTGTTCTTCTTGGTCCCAAAGCCCTGGGCCAGACAACAGGACACCACACCCACCCCTCACAGAAGTCTGCCTGGCTCCCTGGCATGTTTCAGTGGCCCCTCTCATGCATATCTCAGTGGGCGAGTTTCCATGTCTGGGGTAGACAGGGACCAGGTCCCAGTTAACCCAAGGAACCCTAAGATGTATGACCAGAGGCAGCACCTCTCACTCTGGGATGTGGCAAAAGCCATCACCAACCTCCTGGGAACAACTGCTTCAGGGATATTTTTATGAAACTACTTCCAGGTTGGATTTTTAATCATTACCTCTCCACTCAGAGTTCCCAAACCTGGGGAGGGGTCAGGTTTATCACTATAATCCCAGTGTACATGCAGTGGGCCCTGGGCAATTTAAGAGAGCAGGTATTTGGGGGCTGCATGTACACTGTAGTTGCATTCTGCAACTACAGCTACAGGGCTGGGTGCTGAAAACGAGTGCTGACATCACCTCTATGAGTAACTGTGGATGCGGTCTCATCAGCAGCTCACTCCTCCCCAACCTGCCTAGGAGTTCAGGTCCTAAGGGTGATGTGTCCAAAGTGGGGCTACCTGACCCCGTCAGCATTCTTGACCAGCTTGCAGGACAACTGGATGTTCACTAATCTCTGGCTGTGTTTCCTATGTATGGACCGACACTCAGGAGACCTGCACCATGCTGAGATCGGCAATGTTTTATCCTAATCTCATGAAGAGGTGAACCCTCACACAGAAGAGGCCAATTACATACAAGCAGTGAGTTTCGAACTGCTTGGGGATGGCACTGGTGCTCTTTCCTGTCTCTGGTCAGAAGGAATTGAGCAAACCTGACCCTATGCTAGAGTGTTGCTGTCGTGAATGAAAGCTAAGAACAGCTGAACGGAACCTACTCAGGCTTTGGACAAAGGCCAAGCTATCGTGGTGTGAGCCTCTCCTCCCCCAGCCCAGTTCCTCGCCGGCCATCTCTGGCATATACCTTGAGCCACTGCTTCTCCGTCAGTGAGTCACTGTAGTCCACCTCCTTGCGGTGGCGGGAACCACGGCCAAACATCTTCTCTTCTTCTTCCTCGCAGGTCAGCCGCTCCACCTCCGCATCATCCTTGATGATCCATGAGGGGAGCTCATCCTCCTCCATCAGACGTGGCTTCCGCTTGGGGTTGCGGGCTTCCTCACGCCTGCGGTCCAGATCCATGCGCTGGAAAGCAAGGAGAGGCGTCAGCACAGAGAGAGCCAGGAGGACATTCAAGGGATATTGATAAGGGGCTGCTTCTTTGTCTTAATAGTAGTTAAACAGCAGCTCTGGGTATGGATTGCTACGGCTAACGTGGCCTGGCTCCTGCGTTGGACCCTGGCTAGGGGCTCTGCTTTAGGGACAGAGAAAACTGGAAAGGACTGGCAGATTGCATAAAGGAGCTGAAATAGGGTGACAGTTTCAAGGTACAGTCTTGTCAGGAGGCACAAAGCCTAATGGGGCACACAGCCCAAACTAATACCATACTTCTCACCCAGAAGCATGAGGTATTGGTGGCCAAGGTGCTCACCAGACCCGTGGCTTTGGTCAGTATTAATACACCCTTAAAGGGAACCTCAAGGGAGCCTCAGCAAATTTAAGAGGACAGGTATTTGGGGGCTGAGGGTGTGTCCACTATCCCTCTGACACTCTTAAAACACGGAAGAAAGCTGGGTGAGTTAGGAGGCATTGTGGGGCCACCGCTGGCTCCATTATCATCCAGGGACTCCTTCTGCTCTGTTTGAAGTCATCAGGGCAGGTGTGAACCCCTCGGGGCTCCCCGTTTCATATGGGTGGAAAGTTGAGCTCCCTAAAGGTGTGTGAGGTGGAAATGCCACCTCAGCTCCCGCCTGTGGAGCTTACCATGAACAGGTCGAACTCCTCTTCGTGCCGGGCAATCATCTGATTCACAGTTTCGTCGTCGGGCACTTCATCTTCTTCCTACGAGATTTCACAGGATTAGTACAAGGGTGGAGAGGCAAGGATGGGTGGTGGCCGGGCTCGGAGGCGAGCGGCAGCGTCCATGGGAAATGAGCTGGTGGTCCCAGTCCGGCTGCAGTGGATGGCGATCTACACAGCAGCGAGAGGCACACACACACACGCACACGCACGCTCCGTGGGTTCAGGGCCCTTGCTGGCCGTCTCAGCCGAGAAGCCGAGGATTGAATGGGCATGGAGACTGAACTACCCCTCTCACCTTTAGAGGTGGCTCCTCCAAGTCGGGGTTGACGCCCGCTGGCGGAGGGGCAGTGTGGGCGAAGCTGGCACTGCCGCTGCCCGTGCTGCAGTGTCTGCTCTGTGGATAAATAGAGGACTTCAGTCTCCAGGGCTGTCAATCCAGCGTCTTTCACCAGCAGTTTAGAAAAAAAAAAAAAAAAAAAAAAAAAAAAAAAAAAAAAAACACTTCAAAGGAAAAGCAAGTACTCATCCTCTTTCCTTTCAGCCCACACTCCCTTTACTCCAAAGGGATGCAAAAAAAGAAAAATGAAAAAAAAAAGTACAAAAAAGGTAAAAAAACAAAAATGAAAGCCGCTCATGCATTCACCACTCACGCTGGGGAGGGGGTTGGAGCCAGTGCTGCCCTCACCTCGTCCTGCTCCTCGTGCTCCAGGATGGCCTGCAGGAAGGCACGCCTCTCATGGCTGGAGGACTTCTGGTCAAACATGCCAGCCTGGATCACCTTCTGATCGACATTGAGCTTATACTTGGCCGCAGCCAGAATCTTCTCCTCCACACTATTGACTGTGCAGAGGCGGAGCACGCGCACCTCGTTTTGCTGCCCAATGCGGTGGGCTCGGTCCTGCGCTTGCAGGTCCTGGGGAAGAAACACTGGTCAGTCTTGAGCAAGCACTTTAGAGTTTAAGGGGAGGTCGGCCTTGCGAAGCCATTGGGAGAGGCGGGGCCTTTTGATTATTTTGTACCTGGCTCTTGCCTGGCCATTCTGCTAGTCCCAACCAGCAGCCGCCTGGCTGGCGAGTTCAGGTACAGGATGTGGAGCCTGTGCCAGAAGATTTCATACTGAGTTCCTGCAGAAGTGCTACTTTCTATCTCAGTGATACTTGAGAAATACTCAGGAAGATAGCACAGTTTGGGAGGACAACCCCTGGGTGGTTACATCCCAAGCAGCTCCTATCACAAATGCAGGGGTCCCCTTGCCTACCCAAGGAGGAGCCTATGCTCAGTGTGACTGTATCACGGTACCATTTATAGGATGGGGGCAAAGCTGGACAGCACGTTGGCGATACCTACTTTGGTTGTGGTCCCTAGTACTTCCTTACTGTGCAACCCCGAACTCAACCTCTCTGAACCTTAGGTCTCACTCTGTTCACACAAGCCACTCTCCTGGCTTTTGTGTGCATGGGAGGAGCAAATGGCATCGAATGCTCAGTCCAGTGCCTAGTGTGGAATAAGTTATGATAAAGTGATAGCCATGACTGCCAACCTAATTTGGATCATCATCCCCAATACAGAACCAGGAAGAATCCCATGAAATATTGTGCCAAGTGGGCTGGTGCTGTTTGGGGCTGAGCTCGAAATTAGTACCTAATGGAGGACAGAGGCCACACCTGCTTGGAGACAGGAGTGTCCTCTCTTCACTACTGGGCCCCTGGCTGGCCAGCATGCTTCCTGGCAGGGCGAGCACTCAATGGCAGCCCCCTCAGGCCCTGCAGTGAGCACAGTGGCCTCTGATACTGCCCAGCATGACAGAGGGAGGACAGGGCTCCACAGGAGCTTCTCCCTGCCGCCTGTTTGCTGACAGGAGAGACACGCCCCAACCACCTCTTGGGAAACTGGCCAGTTGTCAAAGTCCAGGCAGGAACTACTCTCCAAGATGACAGTAGAAAGGGCTGCTAGCAAACACCCACAGTATTCGCCCATCAGATAAACTATCATTTTCACACTGGTTGTGGTAAGGGTATACTCACACCCCATCAGTGGGAAAGAAACCTGGGAGCCTTCTGGAGGCCACTGGAAGCCAATATCATGAAGGGGACACACCCATGAACCAAGCAATCCCACCTCTCAAGGTTGGCCTGGCTGGTGCTCTGAGAGAGCAATAATAGGGCTCGCTGAGGGGACTAGTGGTCATGCCAAACACCAGAACCCAGACGTCTGATAACTACACTTCGAGTTAAAAGTCTTAGGGCCACTATAAGCTGGGACGGCCAGCAGCTGACTAAATGCTCACACAGAGGTGAAACACCCCAGCAGCTGAAGGGAAGGGACACATCCTGGAAAATGCTGTATTTTTGTGAAAAACAGAACATACAGATTAGATGCTGGCATGTACTCAGAGAAGAACAGGATGGGTGGAGAAGGGGGAAAATGGACCCTACATTACTTTGAGTTAGTGATATTTGCCATTTTTAAGAAAAATTAAGTATTTTCAAACGATTGTATCTATAAAATCACAACCTAACCTTGCACTTACTAGCATGTGCCCCCATGGAGTGTAGACAGGTAAGAAACGGAGCAGCAGTATACAAAGTACATAAAAGATGACCTGAGTTTTGTTTACAAAAGCACACGGCCTAAACCATCACTAAAACAGCGATGATTACTGCTAGCTAATAAGAGTGGGGCCTTCTGCATTTTCTGTCCACATTTGTGTTAATACCAGGATACTTTTTAAATTTATTACAGTGAAGGGAGAGGGACAGAGAGATAGAAACATCAATGATGAAAATGATTGATTGGCTGCCTCCTGCATGCTCTCCCCCCAACCCTGCACTGGGGATCGAGTCCACAACCCAGGCATGCCCCTTGACCGGAATTGAACCTTCAGTCTGCAGGCTAACGTTCTATCCACTGAGCAAGACCATCTAGGACCAGGCTTCTTTTTATATATGTAACAATGGAATATATTTTTGTCATATCAGAACAAAAAGCTATTTTGGTTTGAGAAACAGAGAGGAATGAATACAATGTGGGCTTCTCTCCAAAAGCCTCAGGCACTGTAGGTGCTGCTCCCCCTGGGAGATTTCAAGGAGGCTTGTGGCATTCATGAGGCTCAGCAGGGTCTCCCTGTACCTCAAGCCTTTCCACCCAGGGCGCCAGGGGCTTTTACCTGGTGGGGGTTCCAGTCACTGTCAAAAATGATCACAGTGTCAGCCGACTGGAGGTTCAGGCCGAGCCCCCCGGCCCGGGTGCTGAGCAGGAAGATGAAATACTCGGAGCCGGGCTCGTTGAAGGTTTTCAGCAGCATGCCCCGATCCTCCGCTTTTGTGGTTCCTGCCAGGTACGAGGCCAACAGGGTTAGTGGGGTGACGAGGGGGAGATAGGCGGTGGCAAGGAGAGACACAGAGGAACATGTGCTTTGGAGAACAGAGACTGCACCCACTTATGACACCACTAAAAGCCATTCTCCCATCCTAGAAGGTAAGAATGAGCCCCATGAAGATGGCTGCGCCTCCTCTGTATAAAACAGGGATGCTGCAAGAACTAGACCAGGTGGGGGCTGAAGCCCAGCAAATACCCAGGCAACAAGGGCTGCCTGTCGTGCTGTTGTTACCACCAGTCCCTGCCCACCAGCTAATTTCGATAACACCGCACCCTCAAAACAAGCAACTGACCAGAGGCCAAGAGTCTGCCCTCAAATTACTGCAATGAGATTTCTTATTTCAGAGAGAATTGCCTACATGCAAGCACACAGGTGTCTTATTTCAGTGGCTCATTTCCCTTTGGGCAGGACAGGCTTCTAAGAGTTACAGGGGCTCTCAGGTGTTGGCCCAGGACAAGATCCTCAGCATCATGAGTACCAGAGGTAAGTAAGTATTCACAATGCTGTTGCTGCCAGCTTAGAGCAGAGGTGCCTTGGCAAATTCAGGAGTCATTTTTGGTGATGAAACAAAAATTAAACACTTCCTGCCACTCACCTAGAGGTCCCAATGAACAGTGCAAAGGCCTGCTGCCCTCTAGAGCCTGGCCTACAGATGTGCCAACAGCTACAACAGATCTGAGGAGGGGCTGAGGCCTCAAGGGGGGCAGGGACAGGCCCAGAAGGAGGGGCCATCTCCCCAGGTGCCTGACCTGCATCCTTGCTCTTACCACTCTGGTGGTAGAAGGTTCTATTTTTTATTTTTAAAAAAATATATTTTATTGAATTTTTTACAGAGAGGAAGGGAGAGGGATAGAGAGCTAGAAACATCGATCAGCCACTACTTGCACCCCCACCCACAGGGGACGTGCCTGCAACCAAGGTACATGCCCTTGACCAGAATTGAATCCGGGACCCTTGAGTCCACAGGCCAACACTTTATCCACTGAGCCAAACCAGTTTCAGCAGGTTCTATTTTTATACAATGTGTCATTGAGCCCCCTTTCTCCATTCCTTTTTAAAATATATTTTATTAATTTTTTACAGAGAGGAAGGGAGAGGGAGAGTTAGAAACATTGACGAGAGAGAAATATCAATCAGCTGCCTCCTGCACACCCCTACTAGGGATGTGCTCGCAACTAAGGTACATGCCCTTGACCAGAATCGAACCTGTGACCCTTGAGTCCGCAGGCCAACACACTATCTACTGAGCCAAACCAGTTAGGGCCCTCCATTCTTTACTAGAGTTTCTATCCGTTTGGCAGTGTCCATGAGAAGAACTAGGGATAAATCATGCTTAACCCACAAAATCCTCATCCTTAAGGAAATAACTTGTCATGGAAGAAAGGAGAGAAAAGGGGGAGGTGGACGGCCACTGGGGTGGGTGAAAACACGCTTTCCAAATACTGTATAGCCTGTTCTCTGGAGGGTTGGGATGGTGACACAGAAAAGAACAAGCCCTCCCTAAGGATAGAGCAGCTGGAAAAGCCAAGGCACAGAGAGAAGAGTAAAGTGAGACCCGTGATCAGATTTGTGTTTTCAGAGGTTGCTCTGGATAAAATTCCAAGAACGAGCTGAGGAAGGCAAAATTCAGGGCAGGTTCTGGGACCAATAATCAGCCCAGCAATTACCTGTCTGTGGTCCATGAAACCACAAGACGCAGAGTAAAGACAACACAGGACAGAGGTTTGGGGCATCTGACCATGGAGATGGACTTGGCAATAGGCTTAAAGATTGAGTTGTGCAGGGAAAGAAGAAACTATGGCACTCAAGTTCATTTTTCTCATGAACACTGTTCATTCTCGCCATCTGAGAGAGGATGGGGACTCCCTCTAGGCCCTCCCTGGCCAGTTGACATGTCACATCACAGGTTCTGCATGTTGTCAGCAGCTCACTGACATTGTGACACTGACACAAACCCACTGCTGCCCCGGGGTCCCATGTGGTAGGGTAAAGGCAGAAATGCAGGCCTCCCTATGAGTGCAGGGTCACAGCCACGCAGTTCCCAGAGTCTTGCTACATCCAGTTCCCTCCTCTCTTTCCCACTCAGTGCTCAAGGTTTCAGCAGGAACAAGCCTGGTTCCAGCTTCAGGCCTGATCAGTGACAGTGGCACAGTCACCTGGGCAGTGGAGATGGGCATGGGACTCACAGCAGCCTAATGAGGGCCAGCCCCTGGAACTCTGTTGGGGACACTGCACAGGCAGGGCACCTGCAGAGGATGCCGCGGACAAAGGCACCAAGAGCCCAGGAAAGCCCCTCCAGGGGCCTGGCTCAGCTGTGCCCACAGCAGGAGAACACAGCCCTCCCTGCAGCCCTGAGAGCCTGTGTGACTGAGCGTGCTGCTGCACTCACTCCTGCTGGGACACCTAGAGGCTCGGACCTCGCACACTGGCCAGAAGCTCTGACCTCGTCCTGCCTTGCAAGGGAGGGCACGCTGGCCAGAAGCTCTGCCAGCAGTGATAATGAGACCCCTTAACAAATGTCTCTCTTGGTCAGACTCACCATCGAGCCTGAGGTATTTAAAGCCGCGATACGCAAAATAATCTTCCATAATCGTCATGAGGGAGGTCATCTGACAGAAGAGTAGCACTTTATGGTTGGTGGCACGAAGTTTGGGCAAAATTCTATCGAGGAGCTCAAATTTCCCTGAGGCTCGGTACAGGTCCAGCCTGGTAAGCAGAGGGAGGAGGGAAGAATACACACAATGTTAACAATAGCACATAGTAGGTGGGCAAGGAGGCACAGTCCCGTTTCCAGGCTGAACAGAAACAGCCTACAGGGGCTGGTCATCAGGGGTAAGGGCACACAAGTGACTTCCTAGGCAGATTCCCTACCCTCAAGAAGATTAAGCAAATCCAATTAAAATACATTCAGGCCATTCTTGGCCAAGGGTGGCCATGGAATCATCATCCAACTTGGATACTTGTGAGAAGAGACGCTATTAGTAACTATGCAATGTCTCCATTTTGTTAAAGAACCAGAAGCCAAACTACCGCCAGTTTACAGATATGGAAACTGAAGCTGGGGACAGCGGTACACGGTTGCTGCAGTGCCTGAGCCAGGATTCAAACCCACCTCTGTGGGACCTCATTAAGCAATCCTATATAATAAAAGGCTAATATGCAAATCAACCAAATGGCAAAATGGCTGGTTGCTATGACGTGCACTGACCACCAAGGGGCAGACACTTAATGCAGGAGCTTCCCCCTGGTGGTCAGTGCACTCCCACAGGGGATGAGTCAGCCAGAAGCTGGACTCACAGCTGGCAAGCAGAGCGGTGGTGGTAGAAGCCTCTCCTGCCTACCATCAGTCAGACATCCCCTGAGGGCTCCCAGAATGTGAGAGAGCACAGGCTGAGCTAAAGAACCCCCCATGTGCACAAATTTTGTGCACTGGGCCGCCAGTTGGGAATAAAAAAAGACACCTTAGAAGATGGTTTACTCTTTGATATAGTGCCTCTACTCTTGGAAGTGGCTTAGTATCCCAGAGAAATGATGGTGTTAGCAAAGCTGCTGGCAATGGTGAAATCTAGATATAGCTTCCACATCAAACACCACAGGCTTAATGAAGCCTGAGCTGCACTTTATAAACAATGCCATCCATGGCAAGGTGGGCAGCACACCATACGGAGCATCTCCCTGTTGGCAGACAGAGTTAAGGCTCAGAGCGGTGAAGCAAGTTGGTAACGTTCAGAGAGCCTTGAGGGAGGTGGCAGGGTGGGGCATGGAAACCAGGTCAACCTTAGGAATTCTAATGGTGGGCAACTCTCGTGGGGAGGTTTCTATTTTCTTCGTTGAATTTGTCTACATTTTCTAAACTTTCTGTCATGAACTTAATGCCTTTGAAATCAAACCAATGTAACACTAGCAACAGGACCAATAAAACATGTGAGAAACACCACCACATGGCCCGCCTGCCCACCCCATACAGCAGGGACGCTTCTCACCCTTGGACGATGCCACCGGTAAATCCCAGGTGCTCTGAAAAGGACTCCTGCAATGGAATGAGAGACAATTCAATGGGGGTGAGGGGACGGGCAGAAGAGTGCTGCCCAGCACCATGCCTCTAAGCCCTCACACCAGTGCTTAGTGCCTGCCCACAGTGGCTCTGAAGCTACAGATGTCAACTATAGCTATTCTATCCCACCCATGTATGTCCCTTTCCCCGTGTTTTTCCAAGGAAGGAAAGGAAGTCATGATATAACACTCAACCACCAAAATGAGCACAAAAGGTGAGTGTGCACCAGAGACCATCCTGGGATTGCAAAAACAGAATCCTAGGGCACCAGGGGTATTCCAACAAACCTGAAATATTATGCCAAAACGCCAACATATTTGTGTGTGCTTTTCAGAAGCAAGAACCCAAATTCTTAAAGGGCACCATGGCCCAAAATGATATGACCCAAGACTTCCTAAAGAGGAAAGCTGCCGAAACCAGTTTGGCTCAGTGGATAGAGTGTCAGCCTGCAGACTGAAAGATCCCAGGTTCGATTCCAGCAAGGGCATGCACATTGGTTGTAGGCACATCCCGGGTAGGGGGTGTGCAGGAAGCAGCTGATCGATGTTCCTCTCTCATCGATGTTTCTAACTCTCTATCCCTCTCCTTTCCTCTCTGGAAAAAAAACAATAAAATATATATTAAAAAAAAAAAAAAAAAAAAAAAAAAAAAGCCGAGACCAGTTTGGCTCAATGGATAGAGCATCGGCTTGGGGACTAAAGGGTCCCGGGTTCGATTCTGGTCAAGGGCATGTACCTTGGTTGCGGGCATATCCCCAGTAGGGGGTGTGCAAGAGGCAGCTGATTGATGACTCTCTCTCATCGATGTTTCTGGCTCTCTATCTCTCTCCCTTCTTCTCTGTACAAAATCAATAAAATAAATAAATAAATAAATAAATAAATAAATAAATAAATAAAATTTCCCTTATTAAAAAAAGAAAAAGAGGAAAGCTGCTCAGAGTCGATACAATGACCCAGGATGGCCCCACATGTCACTGAGTAGAAAATGCTAATGCATCAGTGAACAGAGGGAGTGACCCCACAAGGTGAAAATTGACCCAGAGAAGAGTTTTCTAATAATTTGTGATTATTATAGGGTGGGCTTTCAAGGACTTCCTAGGCCCCCCCCCTTTTTTTTACACTGTTTTGATTCTTTCCCGTAAGCACTTGCAAACAGCAAACCAACAGAGAAAAATGTACAGGCATCGTCTATTAAAATATTATAAACTTGTTTTTTTGTAAGTTATCAGGGAGAAGCAATTCAGCCCTGCCTGTGGGTGCTCAGGGCAGCACCGGGGCCAGGAAAAGGGGGCCTCACCTCGATGTGCTGGAACATGTACGGGTGGTTGCAGATCTTCCTCAGCTGCATGATGGTGTTCATCAGGGTCTTGGTGCCACCTTTGCCCTGCAGAGGAAGAAAGGAGTCCCACATCGGGTCTTGTCCCAGGGTGGGGTGGGATGGGGGTTGGAAAGAGGACTGTGGAAGGAGAAGTTTTAGGGGCAGGTATGGCTTATGGCAGAGAAATGAGGAGTGAAGAACTGGCTCCTGTGGAAGCTCAGAGGCTTGGAACCAGCTCTGAGGAGAGCAGAGACTACCTGTGCACTGGAGGGATGGAAGGTGGGAAGGAAGGGAAATTAGAGTGACAGAGCTAAGGCTGAATCACAAACACTTTTTGAAACCAGTTTCACTGTGGGCATTGTGGCAAGTCTCTAGGGGTTGCAGCCAGATGGGTCATGACTTAGGAATATTGCTGGCTACAGCGTGAAGAAAGGATTCAGGAGTAAGTGGGTGCCGTGGGATAGAATTAAACCAGTAAACACACTGCTGCCACAGCTCAGGTAAAAAAGGGCCCTAACAAAACATCTAGAGGAGGAAATGGGGAGGTAGGACTAAGCTTGAGGTACTGGGTGTGGAATCAAGAGACCTGAGATGATAATTTCAGTTCAGGTGAAGGATGGGATAGGTGAGCACTAGACCTCAGAGAAATCCCAGAAGTCAGCAGCCAGCCCAGCCCCCATTCCTCTCCACTGTAACACCACCCCCTGCCCATTGTCATCTGCTAAAAAGGTGAAAGGGCTAAGTGTTCATGACTGTTGGGGCAGCTTTTTCCCAGCTGGGAAGGTGGGGCTCACTACAACTTTCTAATTCTGCGGGAATTAGTGCTGGGCCCAGTATTGCCACTGACACCCATGGCGGCTAACATTTCATAAACAAACAGGTCACTAGACAACATCTGACTTGGGAGGTTCTTTTGGCTCTAAGTGTGCCCCAGAATTGGTCCATGAGCCTCTGCTCCCGCAGTCTTACTGACACATTCATACCAGCCATGACTTAAACAATAGCTCTGCAGCGCTCTTGGGATCACCACTTCATGGGGCCTAGACCACAACAATAAGCTCCAAGGTGGAAGACCTGCAGGTTACAGTGTGCTCAACCACACACCTGGCTGCCCCGAACCCACCCGCCTTGGACACTTAAGTGGGGAAGTGGGGCCTGGGCAAACCTTCTTGTCCTTCTCAGAGCCATCGGTCAGCAACACCCCTTTGGCTTGCATGTGCCGGTACAACACACGTTGCAGAGCAGACATGTCACACTTGATGACGTATTCCACCTGTAAGAGACACACAACGTTATCAGTGGGGGTACAGGGGTCCTGAGCCTAATCCCCCACCTGAGCACATCTATCTCTTGGTAGCATCCTAGGCCCTGGGATGCTCTGATCAAGGCACACAGGGGTGATAGTGAAAAGGCCCCAACAGCTGGGGACACGGGCAAGTGAAGTACCAGGACAGAGAAACATGGAAGGGGAGTCCTGGACTGCTCTTGCCCCTACGGCATCCACTTCTCTCCCCTTCTTTCCCACTCTCAGTGCTCAAGGTTCCAACAAGAACAAAGACTAATTCCAGCTTCAGGCCCAATCAGTGATAGCTCCACAGATACCTAGGCAGTGGAGAGATGGGCATGTGGCTCACAGCAGCCTCGGAAGAGCCAGTCCCTAGAACTCTGGGGAAAAGGATGGGCTGCCTCTCTGTTGGGGTCACATGTGGCCACCTTCCAAAGGCCTCTCCAAGTATGACTAGAGGGGTAACTGTGGCCAGGAACCCCCAGCCCTGCCGGGGGGAAGGAAAGGGAGCCCTAGAGACCCACTGTGGTACTGGTTCCCTGAGCAAGAGTTCAGAGCCATTTCAAGATGGGGAAGCAGCCCTGAGAGCCCGTGGTCTCCAAGCTGAGCTTGTGACATAGTTGGGCAGGAGCTGCCCAAGCATCTGACCTACTGACAACAGGTAGGATTCTGTATTCTAATCTACCACCCCTGCCTTCTAGTGCTCTAGAGGGGGTGAGCAGCCATTCCCGGGATGGATTTACTTCGGAATGACAGGGCAAGGCCAGGACCATGAGACCATAGGCCAGCAAGGACAGGAAAGCCACCTGGCCAGGACCACCCTAGGGAAGCCCTGCACTGTGGTTTCTTCTACTTAAAATCCTGACGGTACCTTTTCAGGCAACTGAGCTTCAACCTCCTTCTTGAGCCGCCGGAGCAGGAAGGGCCGTAGCACTTTGTGGAGGCGACGAATGATGAGGATGGTCTCCTCCTCGTTTAAGTCCACCTGGCATGCCATGAGAAATGTAAAACTAAGAGTTACTTCCAAAGGGGGGGCATTTGGAGCCACCCTGTGCCCTGCCCTACCTTTTCAGAGAGCCCTCTGTTTTTAGGGGGTTTGCAAGAAACCCTTTTCTTTTGGAAAACAGGAAGGGTCTGAACTCTTCCCTAGAAATGCCAGGACATGGAGCCAAGGAGCCCAGGGCACCAGGTTCCACAGGCTTTACAAAGAGCAATAAACTGCTGAGGGAATCTCATGCCCCAGTGGATGCTTAACTTCCCATGCCCAGCTCAAATCGGGACCCGGGTAAAAGACAGAGACTTGGCTGACAGCAGCTGCTCTCTCACTACAACAAGACTTGTTTAAGTTGTCTTGTACCCATGGTATGGGGAAGTGGGTTTTTGATACCTAAATCCAGCCTACCACCAGGATTGCTCAGGGCCTATTCAAGAAGTCAAATAATCCTTTCCACTACTATTTAGATGGTAAAATAACATTGTTCTAGAGCACATGTGTCAAACACAAGGCCCGCGGGCCAAATCCATCCCGCCAGGCCTTGCAATGTGGCCCGCACCACGCTGTCATCACTGCACTCCGCTGCGTTTCCATCACAATGACAGTTTATGACTGTTCAGTAAACCATTCGGCCCGCGATTTAGGCTGGATTTTATATTTTGGCCCCTTCTCTGATTGAGTTCGACATCCCTATTCTAGAGTAATAAATTTGACAGTAAAATAGTAGACAAGTTTTCAGGCAAATTTAAATAGGCTAATTGAAATAAGCGAATATTCTAGAAAATTAATTGCACTGGACAAAAAGCTGTGCCTAAAGTGTTAACTAAAATTTTTATTGGCAGTTCATCTCATGATAAAAATCTCACAACAGGAAATGAACCTAAAGCAGTCATATTATAATGCAAAAAAATAAAATTTAAAAGCCATCAAGACTACATTATAAAATTTTCAAAAGCCTCCTAATATTTAAATAAAAAAAGGGGGAAAGTAAAAGAATATCATGTAAGGAAAAATATCCTGAAAGTAAATTACATCTAGAAAATTTGTATTTTAGAAAATTAATTGTAATGCTAACAGCAAGACACCCATGAAAAACACAGATAGTGTCAAAAGAAGCCAGAGGAAAATTATTTAGGCAAAAAATGAAAAAGGATCCCAAGTCAAATTTATAGAAAATATTTCTTTATTAACTTTTGGTCAAGAATATGTTTGTATATTTTCAGAAAACAACTTCGAGACCATATGGATTCCGGCAACAGAGAGGAATTGACAGGACTACTCCAACCATGAAGACAGAAGAGAAGCAGTCCAGAGATGGAAGTCATTGACGACGCCTTGCCATAATAGCAGTCAGCAGCTGTGTATCACAACTAGAGAGGGTTGGACCTGCATTACCACCATTTGCCTACCATCCAGAACTGAAATATTATTGCTGACATGTACACATAAGGAACTGTTTGACATTGAAATTGGGTCTCAAAAGAACTGTTGGCCCAGAAAGAAACTCACTACAGACTGATTCATGTGCCTTTCAGGATAACCATTATTGCTTGACTCATTTTTGATTCTTATAAGTATATTTCCACTAGGACATGATCTCACTCATCTAGGGGAAATGGTGAACAACGTAGACTGATGAACAAGAACAGACCCAGAGATAAGGAGTCAAGGGTCAGACTGTTGGACCTCAAAGGGAGGGTGGGGATAAAAGGGAGAGATCAACCAAAGGACTTGTGTGCATATATATGAGCCTAACCAGTGGTCAAGGACAATAGAGGGGTAGGGGCATGACTGGGGAGGGGTGGGGGATTGGAATGGGGGCTGAGGACAAATATGTGATACCTTAATAAAGAAATAATTTTTAAAAACACACAAAAAACAAAGAGCAATAAAGCAGAATAGTGCTGCTTCCCGCCAGCACATCTAAATGAAAGCTAAGTGGCATGATGGGGGCCACATTCATAGAGTGTTTGGTGTAAACCAGATGATGCTCATGGAGGGCTCTACCACTGGGAGCCCCATATCCACTCTCATTTCAGCTGGGAAGGGATGGGAGAGAAAGAAATGCTGCTCTCCCAGGGTGACTGCTACTCTGGTAAAAAATTAATTTTTAAAAAATTTTAAAAAGTGAAGAATAAGTCCTGGCAGGTATGACTGGGTTGGAGCATCATCCTGTACACCAGTGCCCACAGGTTGAGAACCGCTAGCAGGGTCGCCTAAGACCATCGGAAAATAGATATTTACATTACGATTCATAACAGTAGCAAAATTAGTTATGAAGTAGCAACGAAAATAATTTTATGGTTGGGGGTCACCACAACATGAGGAACTGTATTAAAGGGTTGTGGCACTAGAAAGGTTGAGAACCACTGCTGTACACCAAAGGGTGGCAGGTTCAATTCCTGGTCAGGGCACATGCCCAGGTTGTGGGTTCAACACCCAGTTGATCGATTTGCATGTGTTTTGTGAATGTGTGTGCATTTGTGTGCGCACACACGTGTGGGTCTGTCTCTCTTTCCATTCCTTTCTCTAAAATAAATTAAAACAATAAATGACATACTTAACAACACCAACAAAAGTTATAAGTAAATAAAGTAATACCTGAACTTTCCTTCTGTGGGTCCCCTAGAAAATCTCTTGGCAAAGTTTTTACTCAACTTGAAAATAAATGAAACTAGAGCATCTGCTTCTGTTATTGGATGGGGGGCCTGGGACTTTTGGAAATGTCTATTTTTCCTTCAGAATGGCTTCAGCCTAAGCTGGTGTCAAGGAGGGAGTACCTCACAGATGATGCTGGCAGAGGCCCCTCTGCACACATGGTGTAGTGGCCCCAGCTGTCCTGCACCTGTCTAAGGAAAACCTCATGATCAGGAACTAGTGACACTTATTACACGCTGCAGTTGTACCTACTTCCTCAGTTGTCAGGCTCTGGTGGCTTAACTGCCTTCAACTGAAATGCAGCTGGCCCACAAACACAGTTTAAACCCCAATAGCACAGCAGCTCACTCTGGAGACTGCTTAAGGAGTTCAGCAAGTGATGAGGACCTAGCCTCTTACAGCCCACATGCCACAGTCTGGTTTTCAGTCTGCCATTGCCACCCCTGGCCATTTAGGCCTTGAGATCCACCAGCCATAGAGCATTTTAAAAATGAAATACACAGCCCTAGCTGTTTTTGGCTCAGTGGATAGAGCATTGCCTGCGGACTAAAGGGTCTCAGGTCGATTCTGGTCAGGGGCACATGCTGAGTTGCGGTCGGTCCCCCACAGTGTGTGTGTGTTTGTGTTTGTGTTGGTGTGTGTGTGTGCGCGCGCAAGCAGGAGGCAGCCAATCAATGATTCTCTCTCTCTCCCTTCCTCTCTGAAATCAATAACATTAAAAAAAAAAAATGAAATACACAGAATATGACTTTACTCCTGTGACTAAAAACTTTTGGGCTTTTCACTGCCCTGAGGGTAAAACCTAAAATCCTTAAAGGGACTAACAGGTTCCTCGGGCCCTCTAGTTGTCTTTCACACCCTTGTTCTGGCCCCATAGCTCCCTCAAGGCCATTTTTCTCACTGTGCCCTCTCTGTGTCTGGAGCACAGGGTCAAAGAAGCCCCAAGTATCTTCCCAGATCTAACCTCCTCAATCACTGCTCTTCTCTAGGAACCTGACACCTACCACAGTCCCAGCCCATTGTGGTGGGTACCCACTGCACACCCAAATCCTCTGATGCTGGCCCATGACCATAGTTCCCTGCCCCATCTCACCACATGGCTGGCCGCACACACCCACCTTTTCTCCAGTCATGGCAAACGGCGCATTGAACCACTGCTCAAAGGTGCTGCAGCTCTTGAAGATGGTGGGCAGCAGGAAATTGAGGAGTGCCCAGAGCTCAGGGAGCTTGTTCTGCAGCGGCGTGCCTGTCAGCAGAAGGCGGCGGGGAGCCACATAGTGCGTGTTGAGGACCTGTGTCAGCTTGCAGTGATGGTTCTTCATGCGGTGGCCTTCATCCACGATCATGTACTTCCAGCGGATCTGCAGGCCCAAGAGCAGACATTTAGAGGAGAGGCCGCAGGGCTTCTCACAGCCATTAGGCAAGAGTGCTCCATGTAGAAGAGTTTGTTTAGATGGAGAACATGAACATGACAATGTCCCCTGACAAGGAGCCAGCTCACCGAGAGAAAGACACACAACATGCCTCTATAAAGCATGCAGTAAGCACGAACAGACAAGGAGACATGCCAGTGAACTGTTGGATGAACAAAGCAAGTTGTAGAAAAGTAGTCTGGTTTCCCTCCCAAAATTACATATGCTAGTATGTAGTACAGAAAAATCGTCAAATAGCACCTCCCCCTCACTGATCAGAGGAGTCCAATGGGGGAAGGGGTACATCTACAGGGGACACAGTGAGATAATACATAATACATTTTCCAATGTGCCTTTAAAGGTAGAGAGACTCAGGCAGATTCCGAGTATGAGCCTGCGGGCTAGGGCTGTGCTCTAGAACCTGTCTGTGGCTACACATCTAATGGATAGAGGCTAGACATTGACTATATCAGTGTGTGGCCATCCTGTACTTTAGCCTCTTAGGGACACAGTGAGTGAGGACTGAGTGACACAGAGTGTCAGAGGCAGATCTGGCTGGCGTAATACAAGAGCCTTCTCCCACGAGGAAACCCCATTGCAGAGTGTTTGCTAATTAAAGCTGCTGTCGAGTAAGCACAGATAACTTTGTACTGAGTCAGAAGGAGACCACACAATGTACATCTGCTCTCTAGGCCTCACTCTCCTCATCTGTAGGCTCAGAGATGCCTACTAAGCTATCATCATTCTGACCAAGTCCCTGAGGTGTGTTAACTTGTAAACATCTCCATCTTGGGTCAAAGACTCTATCTATCCTCTACTTCACTCTACTGAATGGTTAGTGGTGAGACCAGATGCATCATCTTCAGCCTCGACCCCTCCTCGAACCAGGAAACAAGGGATGGTGTCTGTTTTATATCACTATGTTCTCAGTAATTCACTATGGCCTAACTAAGAGCCACCTTCACAACTATGTCAGCTAAGAAGCCTGTACAGCCCCCACTGAATTTGCCAGCCCAGCAGCCCAAGACTTATGGGCCACAAAGGGCCTCAGAGAGCATCATGGGCTGGTTTCGCATGGCTATGCTGGGGGAGGCACAGTTTAAGGTCGCTAGAGACAGCTAAAGACAAGGCTGGCTTCTCCATGGCCCTATCAGAACACTGCAGGAAGACAGGTGGGTCAGGAGGCATCTTGTGTGACCAGATTCTTTGGGCAAAAGCCCTAGGAGACGCTAGCGCACATGCTTTGTAGGCAACCCCATATCTGGATCTAATCCCAGGCTAGCCTGGGAACAGAGGGGCAAACGCAAGGTCACCTTTCAGGGACCTTGCATATACACAGCAGCTATCTTTATACACATGTGCATATGTGTATATTATGGGCTTTGAGAAGATGGTAAGTATGATACACTCATAACAATCCCAGATCCGGCCGGATCACATGCTCCCTGATAGCAGTGAGTGCCTAAGGCTGGTGTTTTACATGAGGACACGCTACCTTCGCAAGGATGTGCTTGTCTTTAATGATGTACTCGTACGTTGTTAGCAAGACATTGAACTTGCCACTCCGGAGCTGGGGGACGAAAGCCCGTCTGGCTGCTGGAGAGCCCTAGGAAGAAGAGAAGACATGCACACATCAGCCTCCAGGGGAGGAGAATTGGGTGAGCTGCTGGTTCCTGTCCTCCAACCGCAATGTGCTGAGTGCCAAATGCAGGGAGCAGAGAAAGGCTCGTGGGTTCTCTGGGAGGCTTGCTGTCTGCACCATCTGCCTGAGTCCCAATGGCAAATCAGCTCCCCACCTCTTCCTGGTCTCCCTTCAGGCTTCCAAGCTGAACACCAGGGCATCCTCCTTAAAACCTCCCACTTGGGCACTGGCCACCGAGATCATTTCCTGACAGAAGCTCCAGCCTACTTGCAATTAGCAAACCTGCCCTGTCCCGCTCCCAGGTCCAAACTTCTGAACCATGACCAGAAGCCCAGTGTTCTTCAGGTTCACATTCCACACGGATTGATATCCACTGGGTCCCATAAGCTTTTGCCAGAAATACTTTTAACTCCTCAACTGTACCAAGTTTTCTCCACACATGCTGTCCCTTCTGCCAAGACCCCTCTCCTCAGCATGAGCAGAGAGCCTCACAGCACAGGGTGAAAAGCCTGGTCCCGGGCTTAACCTGTGACCAGGCATAACCTGGCTCTGCAATTAAGTGGCTGCATGAGGCCCTGTCTACCTCAGTTTCCCCACCAGGAAAACAAGTACAAGTCCCCACTTCATAGGGTGAACTGATAGAAAATAAACATTACTCCCCAAAACAAGTGACCCCAAACCTGCATTAACACCACGATCCCAAGTGTATAACATAAAAAAATGCACACACGTGCCTCATTATTAATACAAGCTGACTTCCCTATTCACTTATCTGTATTCCTTACTCCCCTACCCTATTCTCACCTATGTCCACTCCACAGGCTGTGACATACCTTGTAGGACACCTTCACCACGGAGGGAGCCCACTTGTCAAATTCGTAAGCCCAGTTCGACAGCGTTCTAGTGGAAACAAGGAAGGAACAGTCAGGTTCTAGTTCAGTCAACAATAGCTCACTGTTCACACCAATGTCCACTGGGAAGTGATGCCAGTGTGGTCGTGGTGCTCAGAGTTGGTAGGTAACTGATCATCTCCAATGGGGGCAAGTGAGGGAAGGTGCCCTGGGAGGGAGGATCAGGGACACCCGTGTGGCGACGGGTACAGGGTCAGTGAGAAGCCTGGGTCAGCCTGGACTAGAGTTGGTCGGCAAGAGAAGGCTGAACCCAAAAGTTGGACCTTAGAGACCAGTTCTCTGTCATCACTATGGTCACAACCATCTGTGAGAATAAGCTATATTCTATAAAACTGTGCCAAGAAAAACGCACAGGCTTGTGGTGCTTCATTTCAGGTTCAGAACCATGCTAGAAATCATGCTATGGAACCTGGGAGTACGGGAGACACCACCTGTATCTTTAATACCACTTCAAAATAAAAATGACAGCCCTAGCCAGTTTTGCTCAGTGGGTAGATTCTAGTCAAGGGCACATGCCTGGGTTGCAGGCTCAGTCCCCAACAGGGGGCATACAGGAGGCAGGATATCAATGATCCTCTCTCATCATTGATGTTTCTAACTCTCTCTCCCTCTCCCTTCCTCTCTGAAATCAATAAAAATATCTTAAAAATAAACAAACTTGACAGGCTTCTAAATGAAATAAAATTAAATAAAAATGACAGCCACTGAGGGCTCCTGCCCAATACAGCAAAGAATAAAGATGGAACCCGATTGGCATAGCTCAGTGACTGAGTGTTGACCTATAAACAGGAGATCATGGTTCGATTCCTAGTCAGGGCATATGACCAGATTGTGAGCTTGATCCCCAGTGTGGGGCATGTAGGAGGAAGCCAATCAATGATTCACTCTCATCACTGAGGTTTCTATCTCTCTTTCTCTGAAATCAATAAAAATATATTTTTTAAAGCAAGAGGGAGGCAGGACAAGCAAATGCATGGTGGTAAGTTCTACATCCCAACCAGTGGATGGGACAGCTGAATGCTCAAAGTCTAAAAACATTCTCTGGGGCACAGGTAGCTCTTCTGGCTCAAAGATGACATTTACAGACTGGATCCTTGTCAGAAAATCAACACATGGCAAAACTTCATTGAAGGGAAGAGGGGAAAGAAGCCGACTTAAATAACCTCGGAGAAAGGTGTTTTAACTGGAAACTAAAAGCCTAGAGATGAAAGGAAGTGGATCTGAACACAATACTCTAGGTGGTAAAGTTGGTTTGCATGGGATAACTCTTCTGAAAGCACTGTATATGTACACTGGGAATGAACAAATAAATGAGGAGAAAACCCTAGAATGAATCATATGGTCCTCACTGAGAACTGGAGACCACAGTATGAATATGTTTAGCTTTAATAGAGATACCGATGACCAGACACTATTATCTATGTTATGATATTAGATATGTGCATATAAAGCTTAGTACACATATACTTATTTTTCTAGTGCTGCCCGCTGAGAGGGCCTAGAAGTATGGATATCCCCTCTACATTCAGGTCGTGGCTTTCAATTCCATTCTCTAGTAAGATAAACCAGGCTGATTCTAGGCCTAGGTGGAAAATGTACATACTGAATTTGGAGCACCTTTGGGTGACGAAAAGCAAAGTGCTCAAAACACCACAGTGATGGGGGCATGTCAAAGGGACAGAGTAGCCAACTGAAAGAGCTCCTCCCTATGGCCATAGCTGGAATAATTTGAGCAACAAAGTAAACTAGTACTGGAGTATAACCCAAAATATTAAAAAAATATGCATGAGTCCATACTTGATAGAAATGATTAAATAAATTAACAATTGGGAGAGAAGAGAGAAATATTCTGTACAGAATTATTCCAAATAATTTATGTATCTGCTCCCTCCTTAAGGAGGTGTAGCTTAACTGCCCATCTCTTGTGTACAGGACGAGTGGAGTGACCTTACAGAATAAAGTATGGAAGAGAGAAAAAAGAGAAACTTAACAGCAGACACCTCACAAACACTACCTCAGCCATGTGATCAAGGTCAACATCAACAGTAAAAAGTCATGTTGACAGTAACTACTTTATGATCTTCTGTCCCATGTAAGCATGAGAAAAATCACCAGACAGATCCAGACTGAGGGAATCCCACAAAACACCTGAGCAGTTCTCCTTAAAAACATCAAGGTCATCAAGAATATGGAAAATCTGAGAAACGGCCAAAGACCAGGGAAGGCTAAGAAGAAGTGATGACTACAGGTAACCTAGGATCCTGGAATTAGAAACCAGACATTGGGGGAGAACTAGTGAAATACAAATAACGTCTGGAGTTTAGTGAATAGTAACATTAATGAGTTCCCGAGTTTCTGATCACATCCATGTAAGATGTCATCAGCACAGGGGCAAACTGGGGGAGTGTCTTCACATCTTTTTCCTAGTCTAAAAGCATTCTGACCCTAGCCGATTTGGCTCAGTGGAGAGCCTGTGGACTGAAGGGTCCTGGATTCGATTCTGGTTGGGGGCACATGACTGAGATATGGGCTTGATACCTAATAGGGGATGTGAAGGAGGCTGCCAACCCATGATTCTCTCTCATTATTGATGTTTCTATCTCTTTCTCCTCTCCCTTCCTCTCTGAAATCAATAAAAATATGTTTTAAAACACATGTGTCAAACACAAGGCCCGCGGGCCAAATCCATCCCGCCAGGCCTTGCAATGTGGCCCGCACCGCGCTGTCATCACTGCACTCTGCTGCGTTTCCATCACAATGACAGTTTATGACTGTTCAGTAAATCATTCGGCCTGCGATTTAGGCTGGATTTTAGATTTTGGCCCCTTCTCTGATTGAGTTCGACACCCCTATTTTAAAATATATAAAAATAAATAAGTAAATAAAAGCATTCTGAAGTAAACACCAACCACAATACAATGATGATGAGGATGTGTTAAAACCAACTGGAAGGGTCTCCCCAGGCCAAATCAGGGACAATTTAAGGAATAAAATAAATAATAATAATGTCCATTCTGGATAGAGCCCACTGTGTTGGAAAGAGAATTCTACTGCCTGGTACCTCCCACAGTAATAATCATTTCAGGTGAGACTGAACTGATGGATGCTAAAATTACTGGGAAAGTATGATGACAAATAGGATATCATATGGTTTCTAAGTGCCTTCCCACATGATACTTTTGGATTATAAAGGAAAACTCTTAAGTTTAAAACTGGAGGGGAAAACTGGCAGGTACCACATAACCAAGATCAAATTACTTTTCTCTTGTGCCTCTTGACATGAGGTCCCCAAAAGAACAAGGCATCCCTCTTAGGGGATTCTTGCCAGAATTTCAGAAATAGGCACATCACACACAATCTGAGGAATAGCTTGACCAGGATACAAGTGGAAAGATCATGAAGGACAAAGATGGAGTAGCAAGCTGTCACAGAGATGTGACAACAAAATGCAAAGTGGGATTCAGAACCAGAAAAAGGTTATACGGGGGAATAGACATTTGAGTAAGGTCTCCGGGTTCATTAATAGTATTAAGTAATTGTTCCCTTCATAGTGTTAACTGTCCTGGTGTAAGATTTGGAAGGCCAGATGTATAGGAATTCTTTACAATAATTTTGCAATTATTATGATTTTAAAATAATTTTAAAATGGGAAGGTAAAAATAAACAACCCAGGCTGCAGAACAGCACACTGAAGAAATCTGTGTGAAGATGAAGTTACACCTTGGGGAAACAAACAGGGGACTTCAGCCACTGCAGGGCTGGGAGACATTGCACAGGCTAGTGCAGTGGGAAGCTGAGAAGCAAGTTGGATCTGACCACAAGGGAGGAGGAGGCAAGGCCATCTGCTAGCCTAGGACATCTTCCTACACTGCAAAGAGTCCTCTCCACAAAGACTGCCAAGGTTGCCTATTTTATATCACCACGTGGAAAGGAAGGCAAAAAGAAGAAATAAATTTCTCCAAGTTAAATTCTTGTGGGGTTCTGAGATAGCCACCATGAGTGCGTGACCTTTGAAGGTCTGGCCTTCTTAAAGGAAGGAAGACATTAGCATTCAGCTTCCCATTTTTCCTTTCATTCACGGATCTGATGATGACATGGTCCCCACTTAGTGCTGGCCCGAAGTTAAGGGGGTTCCCCTCCATCCAGGGCTAGGCCAAGTATATACATTGGCCTGGCAACATCAGAGCAGACAATCCCCCAGGCCTGTAACTGCACTGGTGCCTGGCATGTGCCCGGAGCTGGGTCCATGAGAGGGGGCTCTGGGAGTTTTGCAAACATGCTGGGGGAGTTGAGACATTCTGTGACCCAGGCTGAGTTGAAAAGAGGGCTGCCTAGAGTGGTTGATGGGATCACGGACCCAGAGAGGTGTCTGCAAGGAGGAGGCGGCCAGTGGCGCATAGGAGTGGTGAGAACCTCCTCAGGATGCTGTCTGGGTACCCAGATCTCACTACACCTGAGCATCTGTATCACCAGGGCTGGGATGGGACTGACAGGGCTCCAGAGTCACCAGTAGGGGGTGGAAACAGTGTTTGCTCAAACGGCTCCACTCTAATCTTCTACCGGGTATGTGCCCGCAACCAAGGTCCATGCCCTTGCCCGGAATTGAACCCGTGACCCTTCAGTCCGCAGGCCGACGCTCAATCCACTGAGCCACACCGGTTTCGGCTCCACTCTAATCTTCTAACATGAGGATCCTTAGGTCCTGTGACTCACCACCCTTGTATGGAATTTGCTGGTTGTAGGCTTGAAGAGAACCTTAAGTTCCAGTGAGAGCTGCCCCAATTCAGACAATGAATAAACAGTCACCTGCCCCTTTCTGATCTTGCCCTTGAGCCATAGGCAGGCTTTTATGGGCTGAGTTGTGTCACCCTAATATCCCTATGTTGAAATCCTCAACCCCAAAACCTCAGAATGTGACTGTATTTGGAGAAAGGATTTCTAAAGAGTTGATGAAGTTAAAATAAGGTCATTAGGATGGACTCTAATGCAATGACTGGTATCCTTAGAAGTAGAGGAAATTAGGATATAGACAACACAGACGGAAGACTATGTGAAGAGATAGGGAGAAGATGACCACCTACAAGGCTAAGAGAGAGGCCTCAGGAGAAACCAACTCTGCTGATGCCTTGTTCTCAGACTTTCGGCCTCCCGGAAAGTAACACCTGTTGTTTAAGCCATAAGGCTGTGGTACTTTATTAGGAAAGACCCAGTAAACTCACACACTGAATGAGGATGGGTGTCACTGAAGCAGGGCAATGGGGTTACTTGCACTGGACACTCCTGGACCCCCAGGGTTGGGTGCACTTACGAGAGAGGTACAATGATGAGAAAGGGCCCATTGATGCGCTTGTGCTCCATGAGGTACGTGATGAGTGCAATAGTCTGGATGGTCTTTCCCAGGCCCATCTCATCGGCCAGGATGCCATTCAGGTTGTTGTTGTATAGGGACACCAGCCACTCCAAACCCTTGATCTGCAAGGAGAGAGGCAGCCAACACTGAAGCCCACACTTCAGAGATTCGAGCACAACCAGGAACAAGTTCAGCCCTTGCCACGAACTGCCCACAGCCATCTTTATTTAGAGTTTTGCTCTCCATCACCCCACTCCTCTTTTCCTTAGCCTCATCCTCAGCAATCATTCCTATGAAATCATAGGGCTGCTGTGTTAATATATGTACAGTATACAAAACTTATTTTTCAGATGAACATTTGAACTAAAGTTACAAGATCCGTCTGCCACTGTCTGACATCAAGCCATATGGTACATTGGGACAAACCTGCCCACAATCATGTGACACTCAATTTGGGAGATCATTAGGGTTTCAGGGGAACATGCTGATGAATCCGCCATACGGCCAATGACCCCCGAGCTAGCATGTCAAGATTAACTGAGAGCTTTCCAAAACTTGCAAGTTTCTGCATATAGGAACCGTTAAAGAGAAGACCGTTTTCAAATGGAATATGTTATAAAGAGAAATCTGGAAATTTTCCTAACGGATTAAGGAAGTAACTTCTGGGCACTGGAAATGTCACTGGTCACTGGCTTTGCCTCTTTGGAACTTGATACTGGCATGGAGGCTGTGAGAGTTCAAGAAAAGCTGAAGTATAAGGGCCACAAGCAAACAGAAAATCTTTGATTAAATATAAGCCAGCTGCCTTTGGGGAGCTTATAAATGAGCTTGGGATATGGGGCCATAGAAAAAGAAATTTCTACTATGGCAGCTGTAATTCTTGTCTGTTCCAGGAGGGGCCTAACGAAGAGGTTTATTGCCAGTGCTAGGTCACCTCCACAGAAGGCTAAATCCCGGAAAGGCTAGATCCCGGGCTGCCAGCTCCATACATTTGTGCCATCACTCCTCACTATCCTATACTGTACAAAACATCAGGGAACATGGACTTGTGTCTAAACCTGGATCCGGAACTGGTTTGACCACTCCCAAGCTGTAAGTTTGAGAAATCACTGCACCTTTCTGTTCCTCAGGTGCACTCACCCCTAATCCTGTGAAGTGTGGAGGATGATAGTGCCTATTTCAGAGTTGTTGGGGGATTCAGAAGCTAACAGCATAAAACACGCTGCTATCCTGCCCTGCACAGATCAAGCACCCGGCAAACGTTAATATACTACACCGTTTCATTTCCTCCTGATGGCTGACCTAACAGATCATGCTTCTACTTCACAGAAGGGGAAACTGAGGCTTAGAGAGAAAGAGTGAGGTACCCAGAGACAAGGAGTAGAATGTGAACTTGAGTCTGCCCGTCTTTAGCAGCCTCCCACAAGCTGGGAACCTATGTGTCAAGGCTGCTATGTAAGTACAGCCCCCGCCTGCCTCACCTGGTACTGTTTGAGGACGCCGTTGACCATAAGCGCTGACTGCTTATCCACTCTCTCGGTGACAGCATGAGCCACGGCATAATAGGACTGCAGGCCACGAGCAAGGGCCTGCGACACACCGTACTCATCATCAACATCTTGCTTGGCATTCCTGTAAGTGAATAGAATCACTGAGTAAAGACACACATTTCTATTTGTAACAATGTACTTCTGACACAACACTGTTAAACAGCTCTTTCTATCTGAGGACCTGTGACTCAAGCCTAAAATAAGAAAAGTGACTGGAAAGTCTAAGGACAGGTAAGGCAGCAAATATTAATCCGGGGAAGCGGGGGGGGGGGGGGGGGGGGCGCGAGAGAGGAGACAGGCACTAAGATTGAACTCCCATTTGTGGTATCACAGTGGCTTCCAGCTAGACAATGGTAAGCACCATCCAGGGAGAAGCTGGGAAGCTTACATCCTGCCAGGACCCCCATGAAGGAAGCTGGTGGAGTAGGAGCGTGTGTAGGAATGCCTTACTCAATGATGTGTCGAGCATCCACCTCAGAGACATCATCACTATCTGGATCTGGAATCTTCTTCTTCTCCTCCACAGGCAGGGTGGGAGGCTGTGCTGGCTGCGGCTGCTCCTCCTCTTCCTCCTACCAAGAGAAAAGACTGCATCAGCTCAAGACACCCCACAGGGACAGGCACAGGGATCCCAGGGGAGAACACATTTTTAGAAGAATCCAAAGTTTTACAACCCTCACACCTTCTTATCCCGGAATGTGTCATGCCTCCTCTTTGCATCTTCTTTTAATTGCTCAGCATATTATTTTTAGTTTTCCCAGCACAGAGTTCAGATACTTCTTTTTAAGGTTATCTCAGGGTACTTTGTATTTTTGTTTACTAATAGAATCTTCATGTCCCCTGCCCCCATTATACAATGTATACTATACATTTATTCCTTGTCCAACCTATTCCACCAAACTTTCACTGTAATCTCTTTGAGTTTCTCAAAATAAAACATTTAATAGATAATTTTCAATATTTGTTGCTCTTGATTTACTTCTAGGTTTATCGATATGGCTAAAATGCCTAAAATATGTCAAATAATATTGGTGATAACAGGCATCCTAATTTAGTAAGAGGTTTTCAATAAACTTATAAATTAAGTGTTGGTTTTCATGAAAGTGATTTTTCAGCATTCAGATGATAAAGGAATTTTGCATAACATATTAATAAAATACACATGAATGTATTTCCTGGTAGCAAACCATCCTTATATTTCTATAAGTGACACAAAGTCCCAGTAATTATTTTCATGTATAATGGAACTGCTAAAAAACTAAAAAAAACTCAAAAACCTAAAAATCCAATTAATCTGCTAAAAAATTCCAATAAAAAATCTAGTGGGATTTCTTTTGGGGTGTGCAAAATGATTTTATAGATCATTTGGAATATTAAACAGTTGATAGCAGCACAAATATTTTTGGTCAAAAAAAAATCAAAACTGGTACAAATTTACCCTAACTGATATTACCATATCTGAAATTAATATTGGGGTGAGACTTTTGGCTAAGTCTAAGTGAGGTTGTAGACAAATTCTCTCTTCTAAAAGATTTCAGCCCGGCCGGTGTGGTTCAGTGGTTGAGTATCAACCTATGAACCATGAGGTCATGTTTCGATTCCCTGGTCAGGATACATGCCCAGGTTTCAGGCTCGATCCCCATTAAGAGGCAGCCGATCAAAGATTTTTCCCTTATCATTGATGTTTCTATCTCTCTCCATCTCCTTTCCTCTCTAAAATTTTATGTATATATATATATATAAATATATATGAGTGTGTGTTGTGTGTATTTTTGATAATAAGAAACTATTATAAGTAACCTTTTACCAACAAAAACTAAGATGAAATGGATAAACTCCTAGAAAGATACAAACTATTAAAACTGACTCAAGAAGTAGACAAATCTAAATAAAATCTGAAAGCTAATTGAATTAGTAACTAAAAATCTTCTCACAATGAAAAGGCCAGTCCCAGATGGCTTAAACAGGAGAATTCTATCAAATATTTTAAGATTAATAAATTTCTTCTCAAACTCTTCCAGAAAGTAGAGAAGGGAACATTTTCTAAGCCCATCTAGAAGGTCAACGTTAACCTAATATCAAAGCCACACACAAAGATATCTAGAGAAAACTACTCAAAAATCCTCAACAAAATATTAGATATAATATATAAAAAAGATTGCACATCAGGACAAAGTAGAACTTATCCCAGGAATGCAAGTTTGGTTTAATACCCCAAAATTAATTTATATAATAAAGCATCCTAGTAGGGAACAGAGAAAAAAAACCAATCAACTATAGACAGAATTATAAAAACTTTCAATAAACTAGGATTAAAAGATAATTTACTCAACCTGATAAAGAGCATATGCAAAAAAACCTACAGCTAATACCAAAAAGCAGTGACAGACAAAATGCATTACCCCTAAAATCGGAAAAAAGGCAAGGATGTCTGCTCTTGACACATATACAACACTGTACTGGAGAATCTAGCCAGTGCAATATGGCAAGAAAAAAGAAATTGAAAGCATAAAGACAGGAAACTTCAGAAATAGTAAAATTGCCATTATTTACAGATGGCATGATCCTGTACGTAAAAACTGTAAATAATCCTATATAGTAATCCTATATAATAAAGGGATAATATGCAAATCGATCACACTGTGGAACGACTGATTGCTATGATGCACACTGACCACCAGGGGGCAGATGCTCAATGGGGGAGTGTCACTCAACCAGAAACAGGGCTCACACTGGCAATCGCAGTAGTGGTTGTGGGAACCTTTACAGCCTTCGCTGCAGTCAGACATTCCAAGGGCTCCTAGACTGCAAGAGGGTGCAGGGCAGGCTGAGGGATCCCCTCAAGTGTTATGAATTTCATGCACTGGGCCTCTAATCTATAATAACAATAAAACTATCAGAAATAACAATATGAGTTTAGCAAGTTCATAGGCAACAAGACCAATATTTTAAAACGTTACTTGAAAGCCTATTAAGATCCTCTCAACCCAGCTGAAGGGGGAGTGAAGATCACCTTGCTGGATGCTAACTGTGTGCAAGGAACACTGCCTACAGAAACTGCATCCTAGCTTCCTCTGAGTTATCCTTCTCAAGGAGGTGATTCACAACAGATAGAGGAGCAGGCTTTTAATCAGAGCTTTGTCAACCAGGGAAAATCTAGAAGTCACTTTAGCATGGAATAATTAAGTGATTTAAAGACTATGCATAAGCCGGCTGTGATGGCTAAGTGAATTGAGGATTATCTCATGGACCACGAGGTCCCAGGTTCAATTACCAGTCAGGGCATATGCCCGAGTTGTGGACTCAATCCCCAGTAGGGGGCATGCAGGAGATAGCCAATTAATGATTCTCTTTCATCATTGATGTTTCTATCTCTCTTCCCCTCTCCCTTCCTCTCTGAAATCAATAAAAATATATTTTAAAAAAAAAAGAATATGCATAAAAATGTAACCATTTACAGTATTTTTAATAGAGATTATAGTAAGTAAACATGCACGATTTAGTGCTCACAACTTTATAGTGATTATTTTTTTGTGCAGAAGGCTGTTAAACATTTGAAAAGTGGCTAATATGACCAAGAATGTGAGTTTTAAATTCTACTTAATTTGATTAATTTAATTTAAAAATAAAACAGTCATGTGTGGCTAGATGCTACTCTACTGGACAGCACAGCTCTAAAGCACCAACTTTTCATCAGGACTGAGGCCTTGGCTACCCTCTGCCTATCTCTTGTCCCACATGCCCAAGCAGAGTGGGAGAGTCACAGCATGCAGGGGTGACTGATACACAAGGGAGGCAGGTCACCGCTATAGAGCACCAAGGGCCTTGACAGAAGGAAATGGACTCTTACCTCTTCCTCTTCTTCTGAGCCACTTTCTTCACTATCAGATCTTGGAGCTACTTCATACCTAGAAAAAATATTAGTGTTTTATTATAAATCTCCCCCAAACCAGCATAATTCATTTACCTTAGCAAATTGGCTTGTTTCCAAATCAAGCAAAATCACCACCAGCTGCCAGCCAGCTGACTCAGGATCCTGGCTACATCTGGAATTCAAGGCCCAACTCACCCTGGGTTCATCTCAAGCCAGGCCTCCAGCTGCCCTGCTTTGGGGGCATCCGTGCCTGTGAGGATCTTCCCACTCTCCACATGGATCACTTTCACAGGAAGGTCACTCATTTGGCTGGTCTCGTCCAGAGGCTGAAAAAGATTCACATGTATGACTTTAGGTTCTGTGGTGACCATGCCTCAGATGTTCACTAACCATAGCCAACTGGGAAGTGCCCTAACAACTCTACAACCAAAACATGGCACACAACTAATGGCCAGTGGGTTTCCTACATATCAATAATTCAAGAAAAAATATAATCCGTTGATAACAGCAGTTTCTTTGAGATAACTGACATACATGTTTTTATTTTCAAATAGGTAATAGAGTCACATAGTTTAAAATTCAAGAATGTAGAGTGTGGATTCTCCCCATCCCCTGCCCCTCAGCCTGGCAGTTTCTCTTTTCATAGATGCCCACCAGTATCAGTTTTTCATGCATCCTTACCGATCAATTCCATAAATAAGAAATTAGAACTGGTTTCTCCCATTTTTACACAAATGACTGTACTATTCACATTCTTCTGGCCCTTGACATTTTTTCTACTTGTAATATATTTGTTACTTCATCAAGGGTCCTCATTTTTGTTGTTGTTGTTAAATAGCTAATTGGAATATTTGAAAAATAAAACAACTAACTTCCTCTTAGCAACACATATGAAATTCCTTGATTTCTCCTTCTGAGATATCAACATTGGATGAACAATTCCCCCTTCAAATTTCCTGAAGACTTCAGAATAAGGATGAAGTTCTTATTTTAAACCTTTGTTTGCCTTGTGAAAATTAATAAACAAAAAATTGGGTCAACTAAATTGGACACGATTAAACTAAGCTAAAACTGGCATCATGAAGGCCTGTAGAGAAGCTCTCCTACCCTACCTACCACTCAAAGTCAATTACCTCAAACAGGAAGTCAATTACACATCCCAACAGGAAGAGACCTACGTTGTACACCCAAACGGAAAATGCATCTACTGTACTACCACAGCAGGAGAAAGGCTTATCTCTTATACTGCAACAAGCCTAGCCAATTGAAAGCCAGCTAAACCAATGAGAAGCTGTCATCACCTGAACTCTTACTTTATTCCATTAAATTTTCATTTTTCTTTTGCTGACTTTCTTGATCCATCCTCGTTACCTTCCATCTTGTATAACAACAGCTGTTTGCTAGATGAGATGCTACCTACCCAATTCATAAGTCATCGGATAAAACCAATTAGATCTTCAAATGCACTCAGTTAAATTTTGTTTATTAGCAGCATCTTCCAGGAACTTATATTCCTCCCTCCCTCCAAAGTTCTGCACTACCAACACCATCCATACAGTAGAGAGAGATTAGTTTCTGTGCATAATACAACCTCACCCTCAAAGTGGCCCACCATGGTGGGGGAGGGGTGACACCCAACTCGGGAGGCACAAACCCTCAATCAATGACTTTCACCCCTGAATGTTCCATGGAGCATTTAATAGTGGTAATGCCTGCACCTGCCCACCCAAAAAAAAAAAAAAAAAAAAAAATCTGATTCAACTGCTCTAGGGTTTTATAGAAGTTTCTCAGATGACACAGACACTGGGGCTTGCCCAAGGTGGGAATGGCTGGGGGAGGGTGGATGGGAAACAGGAGACATATGTAAAATTTTAGATAATAAAAAAAAAATAAATAAATAAAAAGAATAAAAAGAAAGAAAAGTTTCCCAGGTGATTCAGATGTACAGCCAGTGCTAAGAACCACTGGCTGAGAATAAGGACAATTCACAGCCACCACTGAATGATGCTTCTGTTACAAAACAGGTCAGGAAGAGAGCCCTTACCACGGACCAACTTGCTGCACCCTGATCTTGGGTTTCCAGTCTCCATAACTGTGAGAACATAAATGTTTGTTATTTAAGCCACCCAGGCTATGGTGCTATGGTGTTTTGTTGCAGCCCAAGCTGACTAAGACAGTATCAAAAGGTGATACAAAAGGAGGCTCACTACAACAATGCATGCAAAGGAAAAAAGGCAATGGAAATAGTCACCAATAGAAGAGGAGGCAAAAGAGTTGCTCAGTGCAGGATCTCTGTAACAGCTACAAATGGGAAGCAACCTAAAGAGCTAACAGTCTGAATGATGAAACAGATTCTAACATGTCAACACAATAAAATAAAAATAGAACTAATGATGTGATATGGAAAGTGGCATAAGATATTTGACTAAGTAGGAAATGTCTAGCTAATGTCTAAATTGACCCAAATAGTCCCAAAATAAAGTAAAAAGGATACAAGCATAATGATTTCAAGAAGAATAGAGAAGATGTCACCAGGAATCAGTATGCATACCTAGGCTTCTACTTTTCATGTTAGCATTTAAATTTTTTCTAGAGGAAGGAAGTGATACATTTTAGAGAGGTTGGAAAGAATAGGCTAAATTAAAAATTGATCTGCCATTTGACCCAACAACCCTACTTATGGGACTATATCCTAAGAACCCCAAAACACCAATCAGAAAGAATATATGCACCCCTATGTTCATAGCAGTTATATGTAATAGCTAAGATCTGGAAATAGCCCAAGTGCCCACCAGTAGGTGAGTGGATAAACAAGTGATGGTACATTTATACAATGGAATACTGTGCAGCTGTAAGAAAGAAGGATGAACCTGGAAACTATTATGTTAAGCCAAATAAGCCAGAGAAAGAAAAATGTCACATGATTTCACTTATATGTCTAATGAAAAAAATAAACTGATGAACAAAATAGGTCTTGAGGTATGTATACATGGAACAGAATAATGGATCTTAGTAGGGGGATGGAGGATGGAGTGGGAGGGGACAGAAAGAGATTAATCAAAAACCATATATGCGTAACCCATGGATACAGACAATAGCATGGGGAAAACTTGGCGTGGGAATTGGGGGAAAAAGGAAGAAAATGGGAGACATCTGTAATACTATCAATAATAAAATTAAATTAAATTTTTAAAAGTAGAAAGAATATGGTAAGTGTCCATGAGCTAACATGGGGCGCTGTCTGAGATACAATGCTATATGAGAAAAAGAAAAGCTGCCCAGTGGCTCAGGCATAGAAAAGGCCAGGAGCAAACACTACATTACTCATGGTTTCCCTTTGAGAAGTGGGACAAGGAGCCGAGGAGGTACCAAAAACACTTCTTATTTACACATCCCACTTTTATATATCTTTCTCCCAAATTAGTGTATTACACAAAATAGCTGCTTTCAGGACGTGGGATGTTGTAGAAAGATGGGTGTGTAGGCACAACAACCCCTCTCTGAATGGGCCACTTTGTACGGTTCTGACTTTTGGAACAAGCTGGTGTTTCACACACTAAATAAATCAACAATGAGTAAATAAATAAAGCCAACAAAGGTGGGGGAAACTACAGGGGCATGAGGGGAGAGACAATCCAAGAAGCTTCTGTGCACAATATTTAGAGAACAGACTGTCGGAATGAAGAACTCCAAACACTAAAATATGTACACAGATAATAATTTAATAATAAAAAAATAAAAAAATAATAAAATTTAAAAAAGAACTCCAAACACACTGACCTCTAGCTAGGAGGCTCCTTGTATTTGTTTTTTGTGGTTTTTTTTTAAATTTTTATTGGAGTTTAATTTAGCCAAACTGATTAACACATGCCAGGGAGCAAAATCTCAAATACTCTAGGGGCTCCTTTTATTAGGGGGATGGGGAGGAGCACATTAGGAATTCTGAATGTACATCCTGTATATCCTAGGATTGAGCAAACAGGAAAGCATATCATGGTTAATGGCAGCCAGATTTTTCTGTTTCAATGTGGAAAAGGAAAGGACAGAAATAACCCCATGGTATTGGATTAGAACTGGTGGTGTCAGTGTGAAATCAAGATTTGTTAATATTAGTATATAAAAATAGCAATGCACATGTATACACACACATACACCTATTTCCTACATCTGTCTGCTGAGAGGGCCTAGAAGCAATGACACCAGAAGCAATCAGCACTCCTAGATTTTGAATTTAAAATATTCTTCTTTGAGAAAAGGAATCAGGGCTCCTTAGAGAAATGGCTGACTCCAGGGGTCTGGCAGGGAAATCAGAAGGTAAGGTTACACCAAAATGGTATACAAAGAAGTCAGGAAGCCCCCAAAAGATGATAGGGACACATCAAAAGGACACAGAAACCAATTTGAAGGAGCTCCTACTGGCCCAACTGTAACAATTTGAGCATGAAAATAAATACTGCCCTGGCCAGGTAGCTCAGGTGGTTAGTGTCGTTCTGATAGGCCAAGGTCACACTCCAGTCAGGGCACATATAAGAATTAACCACCATCCGACCCGCATGGATCAGTGGTTGAGCATTGGCCTATAAACCAGGAGTCATGGTTCAATTCCCAGTCAGGCCACATGCCTCGGTTGCGGATTCAGTCCCCAGTGTTGGAGGCAGCTGATCAATTATTCTCTCATCATTGATGTTTCACTCTCTCTCTTTCTCTCTCTCCTTCTCCCTTCCTCTCGGAAACCAATACAAAATATATATATTTTTTAGCCAAAACCGGTTTGGCTCAGTGGATAGAGCGTCAGCCTGCAGACTGGAAGGTCCCAGGTTCGATTCCGGTCAAGGGCATGTACCTTGGTTTTGGGCACATCCCCACTAGGGGGTGTGCAAGAGGCAGTTGATCAATGATTCTCTCTCATTGATGTTTCTAACTCTCTATCCCTCTTTCTTCCTCTCTGTAAAAAAATCAATAAAATACATTTAAAAAACAAAACAAAATATATAATATATTTTAAAAAGGAATCAACCAGACCAGCTGGGGTGGGTCAGTGGCTGAGCATTGACCTGTGGAACAGGAGGTCGTGGTTCCATTACCAGTAGGGGGCGTGCAGGAGGCAACCGATCAATGATTCTCTCTCATCATTGATATTTCTCTCTCCCTCTCCCTTCTTCTGTGAAATCAATAAAAAAATATATTTTTTAAAAAAGAATCAACCAATGAATGCATAAATAAGTGGAACAACAAACTGATGTTTCTCTCTCTCCCTTCCTCTCTCAAATCAAAAAATAAAAAAATAAATACTGACTATGAAGGATTAAATTAAATAAGAATCCATGAGTTCGTACCAGGGGGTTGCAAATTATGGCCTATGGGCCAAATAACAAATAAGAGAAAGCCTTTCCTTCCTACAGAAAGTCAACTAAAAAATAGAAGCAGGCAAAGATAATCAATGGATGTGAAACCAGTGAGTTAGAAGTATTTGGAGTTACAATATATGTAGTGTCCAGTACCTCCCACATGGTGCTTAATTACAAAAGGAAAGACAGTAACTTTACAGTGGGGTTCCTTGGTCAACACCAAGAGATCAAGGATCAAGGTCACAGCACCAGGGGCAGAACAAATCTATGCACACATTCCCAATGTGATGCCCCAAGAAGGATACAGCGTCACTTTAGTGTCTTCCTGCCAATACATATAACTTGACTTTAATCACAAGGAAACATCAGTCAAACCCAAAGCCACTGTAGGAAATACCTGTCCTATATTCTTCTTCAAAAATACTAAGGTCAGCCGAAACCGGTTTGGCTCAGTGGATAGAGCATCGGCCTGTGAACTGAAGGGCCCCAGGTTCGATTCTGGTCAAGGGCATGTACCTTGGTTGCGGGCACATCCCCAGTAGGGGGTGTGCAGGAGGCAGCTGATAGATGTTTCTCTCTCATCAATGTTTCTAACTCTCTATCCCTCTCTCTTCCTCTCTGTAAAAAAAATCAATAAAATATATATTTTTAAAAAAATACCAAGGTCATAAAAGGCAAAGAAAAAGGAAGAAGCTGTTCAAGATCAATGACGAAAGGGACTACCATTGAGTGTGACATGTGAACTGGGGTTTTCTGTTGCTGTGAAGGACAATAGAGGGACAACTGGAGAAACCGTCATAATGGTTATCAATTATATCATAGTATTCTCCCCATGTTCCTGGGGAGAGTTTTTGATCACTGCACAATTATGGAAACATATTATCTTGTTTTTAAGAAATACACACTGACGCATGTGGAGGAAAAGGGCCATGATGTCTGCATCTGATGCTCAAATGGTTTAGGAAAAAATGATGATAGTGAAAACAGGGAGTTTGAGTGAAGAGTGCACATAACTTTTCTGTATTGTTCTTACACCTCACAGGAGTCTAAAATTACATGAAAAAAACCTGAAAAGTAAATAATGTGGCACATGCATAGAAAAGGTCTGGGAGAAAACACCTAATAGTTAATGTTTTCTCTGGGCAGTGCAATCAAGGAAGAGGTGGGATGGTGGCAGGGGACAGATTTAGATTTTTACCATCATCATATTCAGCTTTTACAGTTTAAAAAGAAAAAAAAAAAGTTGGTTGGGATGTTGTCTTATACACCAGAAGACAGTGGATTTGATTCCAGTCAGGGCACATACCCAGGTTGTGTGTTCAATCCCTGCTCGGATGCATGAGGAAGGCAACCAATCAATGTTTCTAGCAATGTTCCTTCCTTCCTTCCTTCCTCTCTTCCTCCCTTCCTTCCCTTCCTTCCTTCCTCCCTCCCTTCCTTCCCTTCCTTCCTTCCTTCTTTCCTTCCTTCCCTTCCTTTCTTCCTTCCTCCCTTCCTTCTTTCCTTCCTTCCCTTCCTTTCTTCCTTCCTCCCTTCCTTCCTTCCTTCCCTTCTCTTCCTTTCTTCCTTCCCTTCCCTTCCTTCTTTCCTTCCTTCCTTTCTTCCCTTCCTTCTTTCCTTCCTTCCTTCTCTCCCTCCCTTCCTTCCTTCCTTGCCTGCCTTTCTTCCTTCCTTGCCTTCCTTCCTTCCTTCGTGTGTGTGTGTGTGTGTTTTCATCCCACCATTCCTCCTTCTGAGATCAATTTAAAGAAAGAAAAAGAAAGAAAAGAATGAAATAGACCCAAGGTCCAGGGCTGGGTTGACATTTCCACAAAAAATATACACCAAAAACCTGGTTCCTCACCTCGCCATCAGGTCCTATTGCAGGTGTCTGTCCTTCTGCATTTTCTGCCTTCTGGAAATGAAGAGAGATACAGTCACTCCCTCACAGGGATACTTAGGCAGCACAGGCCAAGAATGCCGCTCCAGTCCCAGCATACCTTCTTTTTCTTCTTCTTCTTTTTCTCCTTGGCCACCTGGGCTGCCTTGTGCTGCCGCACCAGCTCCGTGAGGTTAGCCACGTACTCGTCTGTCTGTTGCAAGAGGTAGGCCAAGCGCTTGTCCTTCTTCTGGTCAATGAGTTTCCGGTACCCTTCCTCATCTTCTGCCTGCAAAAGCATGCAGTTATGGCATTTGCCTGCAAGACATGCTTGTCCATTAGCCACCAAGACAGGCAAATCACAGTCGAGAAGTCCACTGGGAATTATTGTTAACAAACAATCAGGCCCACATTATGGAACATTGTGCTGTATGTAGGCCTTTCACATATAACTATTGTCTCTCCCTTTAGTATTTCCTCAACTCTTACCCAGAGCTAGGTAAGGACCTGGCTGCACAGACATAATCCTACCCAGAGTTATTTGTAAAGGCCAATATCAAGTTCTGTGCCATCTGTTCACAAACATACTCCAAATCGAAGCCCTTTTCTCTCCTTGGTCTAAGCAATCTCTCTCCCTTGAGGCTTTCTAAGAATATATCAGATCACATCACTACCCAGCTTATAGCCTTCATGACTCCCCATCATGTTCAGAATGAAATCCAAAGCCCTCCCTATGGCCTGCAAGGCCCCAAATGACCTGCCCTTGCAACTCTGACTTCACTCCTCTATTGCACCATTCCATTGTTGGGGTCACTTGCTGTGCCTTGCAACTGGCTTTTCCTTACCTTGGGCTCTTGACCTTGGTTCCTCAATCCCTAGGAGGCACTTCCTCCAGGTTTCTGCTCACCCTTTCAGTACCATCCTGTCAATCCCATGTGTTCATTCTCTTTAGTGCACTTTCCACCACTCAAAGCTGTTTCCCTTGGGCAATTATCACCCTTGGGTAAGCACAAGCCCCTTGAGGACAGGGTTGTGTCCTTCTCTTTACTTCTGTGGCCTCTGTCCAGACAGTAATGCCTATCAATACCTACCCAATTAGAAAATCACCCAGGAATAAATGGTCAGAAACACAGGGTGGGGATGGGGGACCAGATCACACTACTGATGACTCACAGCCAGGAGGGGCTGCACCTTCATTTTCTGGTGGACATAAAGCAGCCAGCTAACTGGCTAAGGTCATGCAGGCACTCTAATGGCTGGTGTGACCCGACAAAGGTCTGAGGCCAGTTCTTTCAGATTCTCAAACCCAAATCCTTCCACTTCTAACTATGAAAAGCAAAATGCCTCAGTGAAATACAGGGTGATGGATTCCTGGTCCCTGCACCACCCAGTACACAAACAAAGGGATAAAGTTACAAATGCAGAATTTTACCATGAGCCTCCGCATTCTCTCCTTCTCGATTCTTTCATTTTCCTTCTTCTGTTCCCGCTCTGTGTTGGCATGGTACGTGGCCACTGCCTTTGTAAGTTTTTGAATTTTGCCTGTGACAGATCGGTGATATTCTTTGAAATCCTTGGCATGCTGAAGAATGCTGTTGAGGTATTCCTACAAGGACACACAAGTCAAGACTGACTACTGTAACATTCCTTGTGATAAAACTTTAAAGACAGCTTGTTTAAAACCAAGAGGACATAATCAGACAATACTATAACATTGTTTGCCTACAAGATTACGAGATTCCATGTTCTCTATTTAAGGATAAAACTCAATGCTGGAGGGTGGTTGGAAGGGCCCTTCTTTGTATACAACAGACAGACAATCAACCTTGCTAAGACAAGCTGACAAGAACATTAACTGATTCAAAATGCTCACGCCCTCCAACCAAGTTATTCCATTGCTAGGAATTTTATTTTAAGGAAGTAGTAGAGATTGTCCAAAAAAATTTCAAGAAAAAAAATGTTTATTACAGTCCTGGCCAGATTGGATGGAGCATCATCCTGTACACCAAAAAGTTGTGGGTTCAATTCCCAGTCAGGGCACATATAGAAGGCAACCGATTGATGTTATCTCACGTCAATGTTTTTTTTTTCTCTCTCTCTCCCTTTCTCTCTCTCTCTCTCTCTCTCTCTCAAATCAATAAAAACATATCCTCAGATGAGGATTAAAAAAAAAGAAGAATGCCTATCTCAGTGTTTGATTACCTTATGTATACAGAATAAGGCTGGAAAGACATATACACACTGAATGTTGACTTTTTCTATTATTTTGAACTGCACCAGTAATAGACATTGACTGGAGAAACTTTAGAAAATATAATGAGTGAACAACAAACCTAACCTAGATCAATCCCTCCTCTAAGAGACTCCATAGCTTCCACCTCACTCAGAGCAATAGTGCAACTTGCTCCTTGCCTCACAAGGCCCAGCACGTTCTGTCCTCACCTCCTCCTACTCTCCCCCTTGCTCCACTCTGGTAGCACAGAGATCCCTGCTTTTTATAGAACACACAGCATGTATCAGCCCCAGGGCGTTCGCACCTCCCTGTCTATCTGGAAAGCTCTTGCCCACATAGCCTAGGGCTTCCTTCCCTCAGATCTCACCTCCTCAGAAAAAAACTTAACCAACCATTCTGTGTCAACAGCGACCCCAATACTGCTTCATGTTTCTTTATATCCTATCTCCTCCCAATATTTTACATCCTTGATTGTAGCCCACTCAATTTCTCCCTACCACTCAATTTTGTTCAAGAATGTATTCTTGGTGCCTTAACTAGTGTTATCACAAACAGAAAAGAGAAACAGCATGTTTACACAAAACAAAACAAGACTCAACAATGAGGGAGCTGTGAGGACCCAGGTACACTGGAAGGCCAGCAGGACAAGCTATGCAGCAGCGGGGGGCGCACCTGGTGCTTCTGCCGGCGCTTGCGCTCCTGCTCAATCTTCTGCTGCTTCTCCAGCTTCTCCGTGATGCGGGCCTCACGCAGGGACTGCCGCTTGCTTCGCTTGTAGGCCTTGGCATTGAGGGCTGTCTCAAGGGCCGTGTCCCTCCTCATGCACACCACCACTTCCTGCCGCAGCTTCAGGAAGAGGAGAAACATAGGCACACGTTGGTCATGTCCACACCAAATGCACAATTACACAGTGCAAGCTAGGTAGAACACAGCTGCCTCCAGAAGGGTCCTTGCAGAATCCCATAAGCACACATGTGTGTGCCTGTGGAGGGCATCTGATGAATGCCCAAGGGCTGGGGAGGCAAATACAGATCAGGAGACAGCTGCTTCTGGACACCCAGCAGGTCTATAGCTCTGCCTTCCCTCAAGCACACACAAAATATTTCTTATGGCTCATTCAAAAGTACAGCCCCCTCAGATATAAATCCATTTAAGTTTCCTGTTTCACTGTCTTAGGAAACATGCTTACTCACCCCCAAAAATACCCCATGTGCCACCTCATGAAGAGAAAAGAGGGTACAATGAGCTAAGTGTGGGTGGACATTGCTGCTTTCAATGGTCAAGGGACATTTATTTAATAATTGCTCAGCAAGTAATTACTTGAATCTAAGCATCAGCGTTGGCAGAAAAGGCCTGTGCCTGCACCTACCTGCCTCTGGAAGTTCAGCAGCCTGAGGGCCTTGAGCTCGATAGTTGCTTTGGTTCGCAAATCCCCGGCCAGTGACCCGGGTAGGTTTTCAAGTTCCTGAATTCGGTGAGCGATGCGAGCCTGAAGCCTGGGTGCAAAGACAGAAAAAAGGACAGGCAATGAGAGGACTGCTTTCAAGGAGCCCACCTACGCCCTTTCTTTAAAGCAGGAGCCTCAGAAGAATCCATCCTCTGGGGGAGGCAGATGGCTCAGAAAAGGATACCAGCCACAAAACACAGAGGAAGGCAGCCAGAGGACTCAGAGCTACAGCAAACAGGAAACCGGACAGGTCACAGCCGACTTAAGGCATTTCAGCAGGGTGCCAGCCTCTGGAGTCAGGCAGGCCAGGCTCTCCCTCCTAGCCCTGGGAATCTACTTAGCCTGGAAGCCTTATCAGAAATATGGGCCATAAAGGAATTGAAGAATTAAACATCCATGGCCCTGGCCAATGGTGCTCAGTGGTGAGAATGCAGGCCCGCACCAAAGGATAGTGGGTTTAATTCCCGGTCAAGAGCACATACCTGGATTGCAGGTTCAGTCCCTGGCCCCAGTTTTGGCTTGTGAGGAAGGCAACCAATTGATGTGTCTCACTCACATTGAGGTTTCTGTTTATCCATATCTCTCTCTTTCTCTCTCTTTCCTCCCTCCCTCCTCCACATTCTCTAAGAAACAATGGAAAAAATATTCAAACATTACTTTAAGGAGGCTAGAGGTGAGGGAGTAGGCAGGACCTCTATGAGGAGGTGGCCTTAGTAATGAGGTCTAAGTGAGCACAAGGAGTCATGTACCACCAAGCAAAGGCCCTAGGCAGAAATAAGCCTAACTTGTTGAATAAACAAATTGGAACAAGGAAAATAGGATAGGTGGGGACAGAGCATGAAACAGGGACTGAACAGAAGGGAGTTTACTGAACAGAATGGCAGGTTTTAACCTGGGGAATAGAATCTAGTGTAAATAAATTGTAAAAAGAGACTTCCAACTGCTGTGTGGGAAACAGGCAAGTGTGAGAGAAGGGAGGCCCCAGGCAGGAGTAGACCAGGTGGCAGTTAACAGTACAGGGGAGAACCATGTCTGGGGAGGGGAGCTGAGACAAATTGGTTCACCAAGGGGTCATGCACTACCTATGCAAAGGGGGATGAGAAAGGGGCTGCAGTGTCTGTGGCCCAATGAGCTGCTGAATAGCGGGTATATGGGAACAGAGACAGGAGGGAAAGACAGGGAAACATGAAAATATCTGGATAGGTCATTTTCAAGCTACAGGGGAGGCACATGGCTCCAAGGCATGTCACAGCTGAGACGTACTTTAGAAATGGTCATTAGGCAAAGAATTACTGATGCCTCTGGGAATACACAGTGAACAAGGCACAGCCTCTCCCTCGTGGAGCTTACGCTCACCAAGGTACGCCTGCCCTGAACAAGTTATGAATGCAATGAGGAAATGGGCAGTGCAAGATGCTCAAGGAGTGAATCTCAGGTGCCCCTAGAAGTGTGGGATGAAATATCACAGACCTACGGTGTGCCAGACATCCCACATGGTGCCCAGGAGGCCTTGGCAAAGGGGCCAGCAACTAGTAAGAAGGATCCACTGCAGAGCTCTCAGGGTTTCTTTTTTAGTGTGATGAACCAAAAGTTGGATACACTATTTTGGTGAGGACGAACACATACTTTTACTCCAACATATATCTGTATGATCTCGGTGGAGGGCACCTTTGCAGAATCTACAAAATTCCTGTGCACGGTCCCTGTACCCATTAATGCCACTTCCAGGGACTTATTCTGACTCATGTGTACACGTGTGAACTTAATAACAAATACAGAAGTGCATTTACTAAGACATTGTCTTAACGCCGGATTAGAAATAACTTAATGTGCACTCAGCCAGGGGACTGGCTGAATAAACATGTTATCTTCACTGAACAACATGAAAAAATAAAAGCTCCTTTTGGACAAACAGGGGACTATGTCTACACTATGTCATTTTGGAAGGAACAATGCATACTTCATGAACCCCTTGAGGACAATATGGCTACCTATGCCTATCTGCTTGCATATGCACACAATTTTTCGGAAGGATACATGCCAATTGGGGAGCTGGGAACCTCGAGAGAAAGGCGTAGGTTGATTTCTGGTTGCATATCTTATTGGCCTTTGGAACTGGAAACCACATCAACGTGTGTCAGGGATGACGTGGCTGGGGGTGACCTGAAGCGGCAGCAGTGCCCTCACCTGTACTCCCGCTCCTGCAGAATCTCCACAGGGTCCAGGCCCCGGGGTTTCTGGATGGGGGTGATACGGCTCTGCTTCTGATGTAGCGGTACCATGGGGGCAGGCTGGGCTGGCTGCCCTGGCGACTGCGTCTGGGGCGGCATCACAGGAGAGGCAGCGGGCGGGACGGCAGGGGGTGCCGGTGAGGGACGGCCTGTAGGCTGAGGGGGTATCAGCTTCTGAGGTGTGCTTGTGGGGGCAGCAGCATTCGCCATAGGACCTGGGGAGAGTCAAGTAGCAGGAGCACAGCATTGAGCTTCAGGTCAATTCCAAGTGAAAATAAAAAGCCTGCATGGTGCTCACTGTCCCAGTGACAGACAGACGGTCTGGGCCACACCTCCCCATCTCCCGCCTCTCACTGAACTGGCATGGCAGGCAGCTTCTCACTCAGGGGTCTCCTCTCTCCTGCCTCAGAGTTCAAGCCTCTTGCAGATCTCAGCCTACCTGCCTTTCCCTGAAGCCCTGCACTGACCCAAGTGCCAACCCTGTGTTCATTCTTCTTGGGCAGCATTTTCCTGACTTCCATCTACTACGGTTCAGATGAAATCAGATTTAAGTGATTAGCTCGTCTATGCCCATCACTAAACCTCAGGCTCTCAGAGGATAGGAAACAAATCCATTCTGTCTACAGCTTCCATCCAACAGAAGTGACCCTCAAATCCTTGCTGACAACTACATTTGACAGAAGGAAGAGAAACAACATGGTGAGGAGACAGAGCCCTGAACCACCCTGTCATTTTGCTGGCCTCCATAGCGTTGGGGGGCATCCCAGGAGGGAAGGGACGTCAGCTATAACCTACAGGCGTGGAGGCACCAGGTCCTGAAGGGTCATGTCTATGGCTACAGCTGTGCCTCCCCACAGCCTCTCCCTGGAGTCACAGTGAACTTTTCATTTTGTATTCTTCTTATTAACATTTTAAAGAGACCCCAGGGTCTCCAGGATCCAAAAGGACAGAACAAGGGTGGGCAGGAATTGTGGAGTGAAATCAACCCAAGCCTTTAGAAAATAACCAGGGATCGATAAGACACAAAGAAGACAGCAGGAATGAGCGAGGACTTGTCCTTGGCCTCTTTCTATCTGGACAGGCTCATCTCATGACATAAGTCAGGGCATAGAAATGTCACCAAGACAGAGGGTACTCACCTTCAGGCCATGGCTTGGGAGGTCCTCCAGGGGGTTGGCCCGGCATACCGGGGGGCACACCTGAAGGTCCTGGGGGTGGCATATTAGGCCCTCCCATACCTACACACAGGGAAAAACAAACAATAGGATAAAATGTGTCCTGTGTTCATCCTACACCCACCCCCACGGGCAGCCCTGTCTGCAGGGGACACACCCAACAACAAGCCCCTTAGTGTGGGCATTAAGGGAAAGCAGGGAACTGGAGAAAGAACTTTTATCCTGATAACAGCTTTGCCTGCCCGCATGAGCACTAGACATTGTGCCAGCCCCAAGGGGGAAACTTGTGGGCAGCAGAGCCCAGGTCTGCGTGACACTGTTGCCCCCACGTGGTCAGTTTGTTGAGACTTCTCCCTCCCCCAAGGGCTGGAGATAGTGGGCCTTACCATGGGGCCTGCTGTAATTTGGAGGTGCTGGTCCTGGGCCTGGTCCAGGGCCTGGTCCAGGGCCAGGGCCAGGTCCTGCTGCAGACACAGAGGGTGGAGGTAGTGTTGGCACCTGCTGCTGCATCCCAGGCATCGGTCGCTTGCCCTGCACTGCCATCTGCAGGTGGTCAGGCAGGGGTTGCCCCCTGGCCAGCATCTTGTAGGCCATGATTTGAGCTCTGAGCTGATGCAATTGGTTCTGATTAAATGGTGTTGGACCCCGGTTCTGCTGCCCCAAAGACTGAGGGTCAGTGCCATCCAGCGGGGCTCCTCCTGGTCCGGACGACATCTGCGGACCTGAGGATGGGCCACTAGCTGGAACCGGACTAGAGGCGTGCTCGGAGCCACCCAGTGGTGAGGGGTAACCTGCAGAAAACACAGATTCCAGGTCACTCGGGAGTATACATCCAGTGATTTTTAAGGCAAAGACAATAACCTTTTCACCAAGCTTACACTGGCACCTACCCTGAGACATGGCATGACCAAATTTTTTTCATTCTTGTATTCAAACAAGAGGCACCCAGAGGGTACTGACCAGCAGCCGGTGTGGCTGGTCTGGCCTACCGTCCAATAAGTTGCTGATGGTCATACTGAGAGGTTACACAGATACAGGCCTTCTCTGGAGCTCCCATCCCGTCCCTCGCCCTGTCCAGGTCCCCTCTCCTCACTTCTCTGACCTGGGGAGCCCCTGACTTTCCTGCCCTATTGACAAGAGGTCAACTACTCTCACTTTTCAAAGTTCTGGAAAAGCCACTTGGAACCCTGGGTTGAACAGCTTGGGCCCCATTCCCAAGATTCTGACCGAGCTGGTCTGCAGTGGACCCAAGAATCTGCATTTCTAATACACTCTTGGATGACACCAGAGCTGCTAACCTGAGGAGCCTGCCCTGCCCAGCTGCCATCTCACACCCGGCACTAAACAGTTCGTTCCCATTGGTATTCACTCTCCTGGGCTGCTCTGAGACAGAAAGCTCGAGCAGGGGACCAGCCAAACCTAAGCTCTACAGCCCTCTGTGGTAGGGTTTCCGCACTGCCCTATGTCCTCCCTGTCTACCTGTGGGAGACCTGATTAGGAAAATGACCTTGGGATTCCTGGGGGTGATAAACATGAGGAAAGAAGATAAACAAAACAATACCTTGGGAGTGCTGGTCCATGGGGCTCGGTGGAGGCCCCATTCCTGCATGGCCCCCTGTCCGCATCCCCATCCCCTTCATCTGGTTGTAGCGGGGGTCATCCGACATGCCCTTCTCATGCATAGATTCCATTGGCTGCAAGAGGGGGTAATAACAAGGCAGGATCAGCAAGTGGGGACAGGATGAGATGGCACAGCAAAGCACTGCCCAAGAATTCAATGTCACTGAAAACACTATGGCATTTACTGAATTGCCAACATGACCAAGCAGCTTAGGTCCAAGACATGATCGTGACAGCTACCTAGGTGTCAAGCAGATGCATAAAATAATACCAACCAATGGAGGGTGACTGCCTAGGAGACCAGTGGTTGAAGGGCAAGGGGACAACAAGACCAGGTCACTCGGCAAGAACAGGAGACAGTTTCAGATGGCCAGAATCCCACAAGGAAATGAGTGACAGCTTCTGGTCAGGGGCAGTTTTAGCTAGGACTCAGAACTCTGTCATTGTCACAAGGAAACCTTGTCACCACAAATCTTAAGATCAGGGACCCTCTTCCTTGGAAGACTGTAAATCAGGGGGACAGACAGAAACTTCTGCCCATGAGTATGGTAACAATACATCACATGTCCTCAGTGATCGAATACCGGCCTCCTGCCTGCTAGCTGCAAGGGAGGCTATCTGCCAGGACCAGGACACCTATTTTCCCTCCTAATGCTCAGCACAAACACTTCCCCTATGGAAATGGTTGTTAAAGGGGACCTTTTCTTAAGACCCTTCCAGGGCACTCCTTAGGCCCTGGTGAATGCAAATGTCCTGCTTTCTGGGATCTTAACCTAATGGGTAACCCCCCATCACCTGCAGCTCACTATGTGTCAGTGAAGGGAGGCCAAGAGGGTGCCTGGCTGAGACAGGAGGGGCAGATGTCTGCACAGGAAAAGGATAGAGCACCGTTGGGAGGCTGACAGGAGCCCTGGGTGGGGCCTTTCCTCCACGCCTCTTTCCTGGGATGGGCTTGTCTCCACACAGAGGGGAGCTCTGTACAGATAGGAGGTGCCCACCACACACACACCAGCAGACCCCTGTTCCTATGCTCTCGACACTGGGCTGGTCACACAGCAGGCCTCTGACAGAGGTTTGTAAATGTTCATGGAGTGTGCGTTAACAGTTCCAGGAGGAAGGAACAAATGGGCAGTGAGGAAAAGAGGAGGCTATGCTAAAGAAGCGGTGTTGTGTGTGGAGAGGGTAATCACCAACAACTTCCCAGGGAGGCAGTGACAAGACAGATACTGTGCCAAAGTTGACAGAAATATAGGCGACGGGGAGGCAGGGAGGGGTTCGCTTGGCTGTGCTTGGAGGTCACTGAGGTGGCACAGGCCTGGGGTGCAGGGAGCAGCAGAGGGATGAGATGATTCTACCACTAACTTGCTGAATGCCCATCTCTCTGAGACTCTGGTTCATGGTCTATGAAATGGGCTTAATACTCACCTATACCTGATGGGTGGGGATGAGGGAATGAAATGGGGAGCAAATACATGGATAGACCAGGTAGAGAGCCCAGAGGGGTTACCAAGGTCCCCTTGCCTCTGCATCTTCTACCTGCCGGCTTCCTGTGCTTTCTGAGGCTGAGGAATTGCACCCTTTCCTGCAGATGCTAATACATATAAAAGAACGGTTCCTTATTTCCTTCCAACTACCTCTCAGGAACATAGAGAAAGAGGAAATATTTGTGTTGAGAAGTTTTTCATCTCATTAGCAAAAGCAGCTCTAATCGGGTCAGGTAAGTGGTGACCCAATGAGGACAATTGCCCTGCTCTATGGGTTACATGGGTACACAGAGCAACCAAATTGCAGGAGTCCACTTGCCTTCAGCTATCTTTTAAGGATTTGGACATTTTTATTCATTAATGAAAGGCAACTTTGAAATAATGTTACTACATTTCCTACCTAGAAAAACGGGGATTTGGACATTTTTATTCATTAATGAAAGGCAACTTTGAAATAATGTTACTACATTTCCTACCTAGAAAAACGGGTGTGAGAGACACACAGGGGAAAGTTGGGGTGGGTTGGGGGGAGCTGCATGAAATGATGACTGCCAGCTCACAGCAGGGGCCAGGATGGCTCATCCTCCCGCCTCTGACCAAGTGAATCCAACCAGGCAGTGCAGTGGGCCCAGGGCTTCCTACCTTGTGCATCTGGTGCATGTTGTCTTGAGGGTACCCTCCAGGCCCCTGGCTTGGGATGGGGTGTCCTGCTGAGGGAGGCCCCGGACTGGGCCCCATCATGCTGTGGGCAGAGCCAGGGGAGGGACCTGGGCTAGGGCCCAACATGGCTCCAGGGGAGGGGCCAGGGCCTGGGGAAGGGCCTGGCCGAGGAGTTCCGCCCAGGGGTGGATCTGGAGTGGACATCTTCACAGGAGCTCCGGACAGTGGTCTCCTGCTAGAGAGAAGTCGAGGTCAGTCTGGGGGTCATGGGCTTCAGCTGGGTGGTTCAGGGCATTGTAGGAGGACCACAGTCATGTCAGAAGCACCCATCTAACAGGGAGCTGGTGCCTTTGACATGCAAACCTTTCTCCTCCAGATCTTTCTCCTCCATTCATCTGGAAGGAGGTCATACATCAGACACACAAAATCAGATAAGAGTTCCCTGAGGAAGAGGTGAAACTCAGGAGTGGGGGAGGGGGACTTCATTTCCCTTGCCATCTTTCTGATTACAGCAAAGGGTGATGCTGATCTATACTTCACACCACTTTAATGCGTGCTCACCTTCCAATTTAACAAAAAAGGAGAGTGTAACTAAGGCTCAAAGCCACTGCCAGCAACAGCTTCTGACTGGATTTTCAAAAATTCAATAAAAAAAATATTGGTGGCCAGTAATACTGGTTTTTCATTTAAGACAGTGAGATAGTTTCCTTTAAAATAAATGAAGTTTAAAAAGTAGGTTCACAAAAAAAAAAAAGTAGGTTCACTTAAAAAGAAGTATTACATAAATAATGGCACTCTGATATCTCAAATACTTCGAGAGTGATAATCAAATGTCTAAAGTTTGATGTACACTAAAAACTGACACCCAGAACTATGACTCAGAGCCTCCAAGTCCATAAATATTCAATGATGTTGATAAATTATACTTGCTAAGAAGGATCATGAGCTGATAAATTTTATAAATGCTTCCTACACTAAGGGTTCAATTTTCAAGCAACCCTTAATCAGTTATGTGGTTATATGGCCTTAAATAAAATTTTCTTTAATACAGTAACCTCTTTCATCATGATGGAGCAATACAGTCTCAGTGGTGAAATCTGGAAAACAAAAAGAATATGAAGCTTAAAATCACCCATCAACCCACTAGATGCAGAATTAGGAGCCTGCTGGTCTACAGAGAGGAAGAAGCAAGCCTGCCCTTCTGACCTTTCCCAGCAGGATTCTAGAGGAGGTGTGTGGAAACAGAGACTCCCAAGAGACCCTCAGAGCCCCCCAGAGTGGTAAGGATGAGGCTGAGACATCCAGGATGGGCCCTCTTAAGGACACAGAACGGCCCTGATGTTGTCCCTGGGGCCCTGTTACACACACACACACACACACACACACACACACACAAAACAGAATTACTCAACACATTTAGGCAAGCTTTTTTTCCTTTCTAAAAATATATTTACATTAATTTGAGAGAGAGAGAAAGGGAGAGGGCTAAGAGACAAAAACATTGGGAGAAACGCTGATTGGCTGCGTCCAGCCAGCAACCCAGATGTGTGCTGTGACCAGGAATTGAACTGGTGACCTCTTGGTCCATGGGTCAGTGCTCAAGCACTGAGCCATACCAGCCAGGCTGGCAAGCTTTTTTTTGTTTCATATAATCATACCTATGACCATTTTTGTCATTTAATAGTCTTCAAAGCATGAATTCTAGCAGCTCCACTGCATTCTCTCATTCTGTGCATCCCGAGTTACTGAAAAGCCCCTATCCTGTTGGCATGTCACAAATCTGGTTTTTGTTTCTGTGGATGTATTTTGGTTTTATAATGAGTCTCATTGCCCCTAGACTTTACTGGGTACTTCTGGTTCTAAGGAATAAATCCTGATAAGAAGTTCATGAACATTTTTAAAATAAACATATTTATTTTTTTAATCATTATATATGATTTCAGAAAGGAAAGGAGAGGAAGAGAGAGAAAATCAATGATGAGAATCATTGTTGACTGCCTCCTGCACGTCCCCTACTGGGGGCTGAGCCCACAACCCGGGCATGTGCCCTTGACTGGAATCAAACCCAGGACCCTCAGTTCACAGGCTGACATTCTATCCACTGAGCCAAACCAGTCAAGGCTCAGGAACATTTTTAATTATCTTGACTAAAAAAAGGTTAATTTGAAAGGTGGAGGCATTTTCCTTGATAATAGATCAAAAGCCCAAATTTCTTTGTTCCAGTTTCATGAGCAAATAATCAGAGCAGACAGAATCAGAAACTTTAGCAGGGCAGAAACCAGTGGTCGCACACCAGCATGACCGTGAACAGACCCTAACATGCAAGAAAATGCTCCTCCATCCTCTGAGCGCCCCAGATTTCCTCCAAAGCTCCAGGAGCCTCAGTGTTGGACCTTAAGTCAGCCTCATAAGAGTACTGGAGAACTGGTGTCTGCTCACAAGCCCTTTTCCACAAATCCAAACCCAATTAAGCAAAGTGTAAAATTAAACTTTTAAAAAATATATATACTGCCGAAACCGGTTTGGCTCAGTGGATAGAGCATCAGCCTGCGGACTGAAAGGTCCCAGGTTCGATTCTGGTCAGGGGCACGTACCTTGGTTGCGGGCACATCCCCAGTGGGGGGTGTGCAGGAGGCAGCTGGTGGATGTTTCTAACTCTCTATCCCTCTCCCTTCCTCTCTGTAAAAAATCAATAAAATATTAAAAAAATAAAAATAAAATAAAATTAAAATATATATATATATATATATATATATATATATATATATACACACACACACACACACACACACACACACACACACACACACAGCCCTGGCTGCGAGACTCAATTGGTTGAAGCATCCTCCCGATATACCATGGGTACAGGTTCAATCCATAGTCAGGGCACATTTAAGAAGTAACCAATGAATGTACAAATAAGTGGAATAACAAATGGATGTTTCTTTTGCTCTCTCCCTTCTTTCCTCTCTCTCACAAATCAATAATAAAAATGTTTAATAAAGTAAAATAAAAAATATATGCATTTGACACAAATTCATTTGGAAGCCATTCAGAAGCAAAATGTGACTTGATTCAGCTCTGTGTGAAGAGTGACACATTCTGACATGGATACAAGATCCTGTTTGATCCCAAGACTCCGTCCCAGTCTTTGCCAAGTACTCTGTATCTCCTTTGCTAAAATCCTGATTCTGGAGCCTGAAACTTCTGGTCCAGGAGTTTGTCTACAGGAGGACGCACCTGCAGTCACAATTCACAGGTGGGAAATCAAGCAACATGGCCACACTGGGCAAAGGATGATGGCTTCCCCAAGCTTCTCTTTGGCCCTTTCATGTCCACAGCCCCTCTCAGGCCCACAGAGCACTGCAGTGAGGTGCAAAAAGGAACAGTGGTTCTGCAAATCCTTAAGGAATCCTGCAGTATCCATAGGCTCAGGGTTTTTTTTCTCACTTGGAGGTCTCTATTCTAAGTCAAGCCAACTGAAACTGACAGCAAAGTAGAATCCACACCACCAAGGGAACATCAACTTCCCATCTAAAGGCAGACATGCTGGCAAGCAAACACTGGAAGTACCTTTGGAATGATGGCTCTTCTAAACGTAGTTTATACTTATCAGACCTTCTTCCCATCAAAGATGTGGTGCCTCTAGAAATTACCTGCCTCCACTGAGGAGGGCTCAATTCATCAACAACACAGCACCCACTAAAGTTACTGAAAGACATCAAAACAGACTTTTTGTGCTCGAATGTGACACTGTCCACTTTTGACACTTCTCATGACACTCTTTCAAAAATACCTGCTTCGCCGAAACCGGTTTGCTTAATGGATAGAGCGTTGGCTTGGGGACTGAAGGGTCCCGGGTTCGATTCTGGTCAAGGGCATGTGCCTTGGTTGCGGGCATATCCCCAGTGGGGGGGTGCAAGAGGCAGCTGATCGATGACTCTCTCTCATCGATGTTTCTAACTCTATCTCTCTCTCCCTTCCTCTCTGTACAAAATCAATAAAATATATTTTTAAAAATAAATAAAATAAAAACAAAAATACCTGCTTCAATCGCTTTTTGGCCTTTTAGCTAAGATCAAGTGTAGCATCTGTTCTTATCCTATATAAAAGGCTAATACACAAATTGAACGAACGGCAGAATGATCGGTTGCTATGACATGCACTGACTACCAGGGGGCAAATGCTCAATGCAGGAACTGCCCTCTGGTGGTCAGTGTGCTCCCACAGGGGGAGTGCCACTCAGCCAGAAGCCCTGAGTCAGGTTCATGGCTGGCAAGCACAGTGGATCAGTCAGACATCTCCAAGGGCTCTCGGACTACAAGACGGCACAGGTTGGGCTGAGGGGACACCCTTCCCGCCGTGAGTGCACAAATTTTGTGCACTGGGTCTCTAGTCAGTTTAATAAAATATTTGCTTCAGAAACTGCCACCTCTGAAGAGTCAAGCTGCCATGAAGCAGGTAAGTGCATGGAGCCACCATCAGAGCAAACTTGTTTCTGGAGGGAAAGCTCAGATACATGTGGGGAGTGACAGCAACAGGGACCCAAAGGAGTGCAAATACAATACAAAACCATTCCAAGCAGCACAGGGGGTAGGGCTCTGCCAAACACTGAGGAGCCCAATCAGGATGCTGGTGCCACATGTGGACAAGAACTGCTGTTGTGGAGAGAACAGGAAAATGGTACCAGTGTGGCTCTCTGGTCCTCAGTGTATACTGAGGGGATTTTTATTTTAATTACCTGTAATGATTTGTAGCATACCTAACGTGCCCTGATTGTATGTACACATGTGGATGAATCCTACATCAGACATAACACTTCCAACATTCCAGAAGGCACCCTCAGCTCCTTTCCCGGTTGAAACCACCTCCCTACGCAGAACCACTGCCCTGATTCTATCACTGCATATTAGTTTACTTGTTAGTGAATTGCATCTAAAAAGAAAATCACACGGTAGTGTGCTTTTGTTCATCTGGGAGGGACATCCATACTGTTGGGTATAGTGGTCATTTGTTTTTCTTCATTTGTCCTGTTCACAGACACTGTGCTACCAGTTTGGAGCTAGCCTGAATAAAGCTGCTATGAATAATGTCATTTAGGGAACACAGATGCTATATACACACACACACACACACACACACACAGAGGAGTGGAATTGTTATAAGAAAGGCATAAATCTAGCTTTGGTAGGTATTGCCAATTTTTCAAATTAGGAATATAATCTTACACACTGC